TCATTTGGTGTTGTTTTTATTTTAAACAAGTTATATTAATGTGCAATTTAGATAAGAAGTCCAAATTAGTCATGGAACAAACATTAGTGAAAGATATCGCATGCAACTTGTTTATAATTACGTTATTTTTTAAATCGTTTATCATTTTGTTGGAAAAGTAATCTAAGCCCTGTGTAATAGTTAATACGACTCTGTCTATAAATAAAATTACAGCAAATTTACTACTACAGACAAACACAATTTTTTGACTACAAAAATATCTAATTTTTTTTTAATTGAAAAAGAAATTATTCATTTGAGTTAAAAATAAAACTGCCAAAAAAATTATACTTTTAAGGGTGAAGTGCTCAACAGCATAGACTGTTCTACTTGGTACAATGGGTCTTCAATCGTTACCGTTCAAATCTCAGGTAAATCGGTCGTAAATTAGTGGAAAGCAAGTGCTTTATCGAAATAGTCAACAGTGCGCTGAGATTATGAAAATTCTTATCTAAGTGGTAGACTTTCCGCTCTAAGCGTAGAACCGATCGATTCAAAAACACCTGTGCTGATAAATACGGAGACATGGTCTAAGTGTTGCGTTGCAGTTGTCTGCTTTTCATGACAAGGTTTTCGGCCCCGTTCGACGAGTTGGTTTTTCATTTTAAGTCGGCACTCTGAAACGGTCTGACCGCAGTCCGACGTTAATCCGCACGTACCCGAATAAGGACGAGTAGGTAATCGCCGAGTGCACGTCACAGTAATCTCCACAAAGACACGTGGCCTATGAAAAACTAATGTTTCAGTAGCTTAACAGGATGACATGTACATGGGTTTTAATTATCTCATACGTGAATATTACCAGTCAGGAGAGACACGCGTGCCCGTTCTTCGGCTATCGGTTTAATGTATGTGTTGACACGGAATCATTGTCATGACGGTGCCATTGGATATCCTATACGGTACGGTTAGATATTCTCCAGTGCATGGAGACGTGGCGTTTCGTGTCGGGCAGCTGCGACCTGGAGGGACGTCGTGCCGCCCGGGCAGGTGTTTGCCGGTGGTAATGTGCCCCTGGCTGGCTGCAGCGGTTGAAGACCGAGCCACGTGCCCCGACAAGCCTAATTGATCGGAACCGAACGAGAGTCCGATTGTAGTTCTTCTCGGATACGCACGTTGAAAATCTGGCGATAAAAAAACAAAGACGTCAAAAAGTTTTAATACAAATGAATTATTAGAGTATAGGAGAGAAAAAGGACAATTTATAAAGTCACGATTTGTGTTATAATTTAATATTTTATAATTTATAAATAATCGCTGTTGATCGAGGGTGGTGTACTCGAATAGAAAATTTCGGATTTTACATTGTTTGGTCAATAAAAAAATACTAAGCAAATATCATCTTTATAATGAATTATAATTGATAACTTGTTAGTAGTGGATATATTTATGAAAAGACTTCCTAACGAGTTTTAATAAAACACTTGCAACAGTTAATACTCAATTCGTTTTGCCGTAACAAAAAAAAATGTATTTCCTATGGTAATTTTGAGAGTATAAATTAGGAAAATTTTCTACAGCGCATCAAGTATAATTTTCGGTGATTTAAACGGGCGGTGTGGTTTTTGCCGAGTTTTTAAACGAAGAATTCAAATCGCACAGCTGCTTGTCTTACGGCCTATCTGCTTAGCATCGATACGGATGAGCTGAAAAGATAATTTTTTGGACTGAGATTATTTTGGCTTGCTGCGACATACTCTTTATCAAAATCAGGTTTATTGCAGCTGCACGAAACGCATTTGAATTCAATCGGGATACGCACTGCCGACGTCCGTATGGGTACGTGCAAGTGGTCGTTTCTTATTTCTTCTTTTTTGAAATGTTTATTCGCGTGCTCTACGGTGAATATATTATTTATACCGCCCGCGAGACGTACAATGAGACCGGAGATGATAATAATTTCATGATAACATCATTTGCCGATGACAAATCATAGAAAGTATGTCCACCGAACAAGCGGAAACGTTGACAGACAACAAGCCATAATGCAAATTTATCGAAATAATTGATACTTTTCTACTGTTGTTCGCTCAATCGCGCACCAATTATTATTTACAAACGAGTATCTAAGAGTTGCGGACGATTCGTCAAGTCCGTTTTGTCCAATCGTTATTCTTATTTGAGTAAAAATCACACGTATGCAAATCTCCATTGCCTTATATAAACTTCATGCATAATACTAACACTTTGAAATATTTATTCGAGTTACCCGAAGGTATGCCATTTCAGCGCTTACATTTTAAACAAAAAATTTAAATAAATATATTTTATTTATTTTGGAATGACATTTTTGTTTTCAAGAACTACAAAAAATATCTCAACCCTTTTTTTAATTCGGTTTTACATCGATTATTTGTAAATATCAATCAACTAACACACTGAGAAAGTTTTACTTTAATTGAGCTAAGCTACCTCTATTAGTATCTGGAAACAATTACCAACAACTAATTACTGTCACTAATTGAAATATAATAATCTGATATTATAAATCTATTATTAAACACTGTATAGCTGAGCAACAAACTTTATAACTTGTAAATAAAAACCTACGACGTTCAAGTTAGAATTACTAATTAAATAAGTTTATATCATTTTTTTTTGTCCTATATTTAATAAATGCGCATAACCATACAACCAAATACATATTTAGCTTTTCCCGTCACGTTTGATTGTTTATTATTTAAGAAAAATTTCTACATTCTTTCAGTATCATGTCTAAGAAATATTCATTTCTATTAAAATGAATTGTATTTATAAAAAATGTTGCAATTATTGTTATTATTTTTTATTTTATAATATCTGTGAGTTTAATTATAGGCGACTGCAGCTTCTGCCAGCTAGTCCAATAGGTGTATAAAAAATTTAAAAAATAGAAATTCTGTGTGTAATGTGTACGCCACACTCGCATATTATACGAGACGTTGTATACGAATACACATACATAATACGTATATAAATGCGCGTACAGAAGGATGTTATAAGTTTCCAGTGGACAGACACGGTGGCCAACCGAGCAAAACCGAATAGCACAAGGCACCAACGGACCACCACAGTACTTCAGTGACGCTAATTGCGCCGATATGTTCTGGTCTGGTTCATAGGGGAACCACGGGTTCGTGGTCTTCACGGTTCTCTTGTTCTACACCGCTGTTGCGCTTCACATGTCTTCTTCGAGGAAACATACGCGCATATAATACAATACACGCACGCGTGCCCTAAAAACTGCACCGGTTGAAGCTGACAACAAGATAGTTGGAACGTAAAGTAAGAGGAGTCCCTGAAAAAATCTTGTAATCCTTCTGGTATACCGACATACAGCTGTTTTCTACATTTTAAAAAATCCTGATCAAGTACAAAAAATGAATTCGAGAATTTCCATCGGCAGATATATTGAACAAGTTATTAAATTATTTTTACCGGCGACGAATATAAGGGAAGAGGCAAACTTCGTAAAAATGTCAATAAGCTAACTAGAGTTGAAAATATTATTATTATTATTATTGAAAGATTAATTTTATTTTTGTTTACTTACAAATGTTTTCTTCATATTGTTCTATTTCTAGATCGTTTATCTTTATTTTGCTCATATCAATAATAATCATTGACAAAATTCTTTTAAAAGCAATTTTTTCTTATTTAGAGACTATTAACCTCTATATTTGGTATAAGGTCAAATATAAAGTTTTAATGGGATTATCTTCATACAACCATCGTGAGTGGATGTTTTTCATATTTTATCTAGAGAACACCAAACCTTGACTAAATAAACCAAGAAAATATTTAAAAAATTTTGAAGTTTTATACTTAAATTTCCGTAAAATAACTGTTGACTTTAGTTTACTAATTAGAAATCTATAACTCAAACTCAATTAGAGTATTATTTATAACAGTGAACTTTGTTTTTAACAAAACTTGATTGCCAAAATAATAGAGTTCAAAAACAAAAGATTTCCAACAGTACGCAATAAAAATACGGAATAAATAATTGTAAAGTAACATGCAAAAAGTTTTAATTCAAAAGAAATGAAATTTATTATTTTGAAAAACTAAGTTGTAATAATATTTTCAATTGCAAAATATGCAATTTTAAGATTTATAAATTTTAACCATGGTTAAAAGTTCAAACAAAATTTGTTTTAACTTTAAACAAACTTATTAATAACCAAAAATTTTTAAGAAATATGACGTGCGTGCGTCAGTAAATACATAATAAAATCTTATAGATATATATCAGTTAAGGTTGACGAAGACGTTCCATTTCATGCACAATATTATTATTCTTTCGTCATAATATTATTCATAAAGCGTTTCTACCGTTGAATCGTGTTACATCTCGAGTACTGAGTTTTATAAATTTTTGTTTGTGTCCTCTATCCCTTCTCACATTATTTTCATGATAATTGAAACATAATATCCCCTTTATACTGAGTAAATAATATTTCCATACCTATACTACAACTATTTTTTTTTTTTTGAGAACAATAAAATAAATGGGCATTGTTAAAGGTTCATTTTTAACGACAAGATTTTCTTTATCACTTTTAAATATTGTTGTATATTCTTAGAGAGAATTTACTTTTTTATTCGAACATCTGAATATTCCTAGCAAACGAGCATACTTTTAAAAAATAGTGGTCAATTTCTATAATAAACAATTTAATTTAAAAGTAAAAAATTGGATCATATCTTGTTAAGTACCATAAATCTCCATAAAATATCATACATAAAATCAATTAAGCTTTTTTCAAATAATTATACCTAATATTTTCCATCTCTATCTTAAGTTTCTAACTACATAAATTTGAAAAGTTTAATAATTTTTTTACAATAACTGTTAATAATTAGAGACCTAAAATAATTTATTAAATTCAACTATCGAAAGAAGAGATTCCAAAGCACTATTCAAAACTTAAATATTTATTTGAAGAACTTAAATGAAAACAAATCATAGTCAGTCAAAATTCTTATTTATATGTTTATTGTACTAATAAAAAAAATTATTTAGATATTTTTAATTTAACAAAAATAACTGATGTCTCTAGTCACAACACATTTAATTATTATACACAAATCTATAATATAAATATTTAGAGTAATTTATTTAGAAATTACCAAAAAAATTGTCTAAAAAACAAAATACTTGCATCAATAAAACAACATACAAATCACAAATCTGAAAAATAATAGGAGAAAAATTATGATTTTTTTGGTGTACTTCTAAAACTTGAACTAGATGTTGCTGAGGGCATGGGTTGCCTTGGACGACCCGGTCCTCTTTTTGATATTATAATTCTTTTTCTACCAAAATTGTCATCTCCCGAAACTAAATTTAGTTTAAGGGTTAATATTATACAACAATATTAATTTTGAAAATACATACCTAAATTACCAGGATTTACTGAAGGTCGAGTTCTTCGTCCTACACGACTTCGTTTAGCTATTGATGTTGGTGTTTCTAAAATAAGAAATTTATATTTATTTATAGTCATTTAATATTATAATCATTTACTAATTATGAACATAATACTTGGAGATAATTTAGTAGGGGAATCATCATGTTCAATTGTTGTTTCACTTCCTGTTTCATCATGAATAAAACTACCCTACAAACATATGAAATTTAAATCATAAATAAATTCTAAACAATAATAAAAATTACTATAAAATTGGCTAATATTTTTTTTTTTTATGGAAAATATTTAAATATTTTTGAAAAAAAAAATGGCTAAATTAACATAAAAGTGTTATCAATTCATAAGTATTTCATATGTATTTTCAAAAAATTCAGGAGGGTAAAAATTTGTGATTTTAATTTTATTTATTAGTCATAAACTAATATGCTAAATATTTTTCCTTTATTCACATTCATAATTCAAATGATTAATACATTAAGAAAATGTTTTTAAAAACAATGCATTTTTATCTATTATTATAAAAGCTAAATCAAATTGTTTTACTTCACTAGGAGGACTCAATGGAGGTTCATCAGTTAATATTACTTCTTCAGTTTTCTTAATTTTAGGAGAATTTTCATTTTTAATATCCAATTTTCGTTTACGATCTTTTTCTTTAGAACCTTCAGCTCTTGTTTCTTCTAGTTGTCTACGTTCTTCTTGTTTTTGTCGATCTTTATAAAATTTTAAAAAATGTATTAGGAATTTTATACCACAATACAGCATTACTTGTTTTAAACAAATTATGCTTAGTTTTTTAAATAATACAATTTTAATTAAAAAAAATATTCAATGTACTTTAATATCAATAACTGTTAAAAATATTGATTAATTTATAAGAATAAATATACATTTTAGAATTGAGGAATAAGATAATACTCTAAAACTATTTTGATATGTAATGATGTAAAAATCATACAAATTAATAAATAACATTCAGAAACAGAAATAAAGTAAATAAATTGAAAGAATTGGAAAAAGTTTTATATAATTTAAAATTATTATAAAAAGTAAAAATAAAAATAAAAATATATACATATGTTGTATTTTCAATTTAACTAAAATGTTTAATTATTCATCTTGTGTATATTTGTATAATACTATACTAACATTTGGTTTCAATTTCATCATCATCTAAAAGTAATGAAACAACTTCTTTTGGCTTTAGTGTATCTGGTTTCAAATTACCACCACTAATTACCATTCTTTGGATCTAAAATTGTTATTTACACAATGAATGTTATTATTTAAATTTTCAATACACAGTTTTTCAATTATAACACATACTTCACTTTTTTCTTTAGCTCTTTGTAAAATTCGCTCTTCAATAGAATGTTGAGTTATCAATCTATAGACAGTTACCTATGATAATACATTTTAGTAATTTGTTTATAATTCAATAAAAATGTATTATTTCAACAAACATACTTGCTTAGTTTGACCAAGTCTGTGAGCTCTATCCATAGCTTGTTGATCTACAGTAGGGTTCCAATCACTATCATAAAAAATTACTGTATCAGCTGCAGTTAAATTTATACCCAATCCACCAGCTCTTGTGCTCAACAAAAATACAAATATATCTGAACTAAAAGCAATTAATATATTTGATCATATTACAATTATAAAGCATTTTTTATTAGTTACTAACCGATTTTGAAAATCAGCAACCATATCTCGTCTTTCTGATATTTTCGAGGACCCATCAAGTCGCATATACCGTAATTTTTTAAACCACATATACTCCTTCAATAAAAACGTAGATAATACAGTTTATAAAATACTGAATTTGATTTAATATTTTACCTCTAAAATATCAATCATTCTAGTCATCTGAGAATAAATTAAAACTCTATGATTTTCTTGTTTCAATTTAGTAAGTAATTCATCTAATATCTTTAATTTACCACAATCAGTGACCAAACTTTGTTTGTCTAAAAATCAAATAATTGTTAATTTTTTTTAATTAATTTTTTTATGAAAAAATTATATACCAGGTATACTAATATGAAACCATCCATTTTGAGGCCTAAGTGCATTTACTCCTCCAATATTACTACAAGCCCATTGATTATGACACAAGTTTGGTTCCCCATTTAAAATGAAATTCTTTCCTTCATTTGAATCACAATTTTCATGTCTTTGCCAAACAAATGCAGCAGATCTGCTTCCGGGAACCCATAATTCACGTGCTTTAGTAGCTACTTTTGGTGAATAAAAATATATAAATGATGGAAACTGGGTTGGGAAGCATTCATATATTTTAGGTGGTCTAGAGTTAAAACTATCAACTGCTTTAATCTCAATATTTTCTAATGTTGTATTGCCATCATTAACCTACAAAATTTAAATGAAATTATAAGTACATTTGATTAAAGATAAAGACAATGTGCAACAAAGAGAATTATAACACCCGTTTTTTAAGATATTTTTTAAAAAATATGATGCTATGGCACACATTTTGTTTAATATTAGCCTAAAAATTTATAAATAAAATTATTCTTTAAAAATACTTGTTTCAAGCGATGAATTTTATGTTCCATTGTTTCATTCATATGATGATGAATATGTGTTGCATGAGTAATTGTACAATTACTAACAATTGGTTTTATAAATTTGAACTTTTCTGGAACTAAATCTTCTACAAATGGCCATAAAGTAGAATTATTATTCCAAAAGCTCTTTGATTGCTCTAAATAATTGATTTTCTGTTGTATCAATATATACATAAACCTAGAAGTACAAATTATTACGTAAAATTTAATTTGGTTTCTTAGATTATAAAATTAAAATAAAACTTTATTAAAAAAATATAATTAAAAATATTATAAATTTTATAATTGCCATTATAAATTGAATTATTACTTTTAAATACCACTTAAATTAAAATATTTCAAGACCAAAGATAATTTTTAAGGTAAACACTCACACTGCATAATGCAAAAAAGTATATGCTTACTTATTTAATAATTCTCCATTGACAAATTGATAAAGTTCAGTTGCTGAAAGTTTCAAAAGTCTGATAAAACAAAATACATTGCACTTTACTGAAATATCTAAAGTTAAAACAATATAAGAAAGAAATACATTTTTTTCTTTTTCATTTAACTCTTACTATTTTTACTAGAAAAACAACTGTGCTGGACATGTTCAACATTAAAAATAAAAAATTTATTTGCAAGTAAATGTCGTTTATTTAAGTGATTATTCTGAGCAAAACTATCAAAGTAAATTAATTTAGGTATAATGTATTCAGTCGGATGAAAAAAAAAAGGCGATCTAGCTTCTCTTCTTTCAAATAGTTCTGGATGGTTACATACCTAGAAATAAAGTGAAATATTAGTTATCTCTTTGGTATAAGGTGAGATGGAGTGTGATTTTTAGTATGTCTGCTGCATATTTGTATATCATAACATTTATGAGTTTCCATTAGAATAAATTTAACTGAAGCATTATGTTGTCTTCTTTTAACTGTTTAAATTTTTATGCTTGTAGTCCAATTAAATATAGTTATTGAATATTGTATAACATAGTCTATTATCATTCACTTATAAAAATGTAATATCGTTTGATACAGGTAAAATACTGATTTTTTCATGCAATTGATTTCAACTAAACGATTAATATATCTTTTATATTTTAACATTTAACAATTTAATTATATAAAATAATACATAATTTACTTAAATGCGATTTAATATTTACCTTAGTAAATTTGTGTACTTGGGTAAGAGTAATACCATTTGTATAGATCTTATTAATTAAGAATATTATGACTTGGATTATTTGATAAGTCATAGTTTATTTTTGTTTATCAATAAAACATGACAATAAATCGATTAAACATGAAACTTGAATAATTGATTCGAGATTAAAAATAAAAATTCATAATTTTTAAATCTAATTAGATAATTTATTTTATATTTGTTTCAAATAAATTATATTATATTACAAACAGCCCACATACTTAAATGATTAAAAAATATTTAATATCATTGTTTAATTTGCAGAATCTCACTTGTCCTTTATTGGGAAAAATGTGACTATCATTTTTTTTTTCTATAGTAATGACTGGAAAATTGAACTTCAATTTATTTGAACTTTTTTTTTAATGCAGATACTCCGATAGTTTTTATGATATATATGAAAATTATTTAATAATGGAATAGTACACAAATCATTTTATGATCACATAAGTAAGAAAAAGACTTCAAACTTACCCCACCTTGCCTTACTCCTATTATAATTCATTATTCTTACTTTTCTAAATTGCATAACTAAATTCATAAGATTTGATGTTACATTTGAAGATGATTGATATGAGCCATCTGAATGTAATAAATCTTCAATACGAATTTTTTTTCTTAGGGCTACAATTAATAATTTATATGTAAATCACCATAAACCATAACTTTAAAAATAGAAAGAAAATACCAGAATACAACATTTTTTGTCGAGAAGTTAAAGGACAATACATTAATATTTCAATTTTATCTGACAACTCATTTTCAACATCTTTTTTAATTCTTCGTAACATAAATGGTTTAAGAATTAAATGTAAGCGAGATAAATGTTCTAAAATAAAAAAATTTAATTTTTTTAAATTTAAATAAAAGTAAGAAGAATAATAATATATCAACAATAATAAAAATTGTAAAACATTCATTTTTTAATTAAAAAGTTAAATATTCCATAAAACTAAATTCAATAACATAACAAAAAATAATACAATTTTATTAAAAAATTTGTTTATACTTTCATCAATGCCAGTTTTATTTTCTGCATGACTTTCAATATCTTTAGAGAACCATTCAGTGAATTCATCATGTGAATCAAACATTGTTGGCATGATGAAATGTAACAAAGCCCAAAGTTCAGCCATACTATTTTGTACAGGAGTACCTGTAAGTAGAAGACGATTGCGACATCTAAATGTTAGTAACAGTTTCCAGCGTACACTGAAAATCAAAAGAAATGATATATTTTTAAAGTACAAAATTTTAATAATATATATTTTATATATATATAATCAATCTCCACACAATGATCACCAAAACAAGGTCAAAGTCTTGTTTATAAAATAAATATATCATATTAATCCTATAAAAATGTTATTAAATTTAACATTTTTTTATGCTATCTGGGTAATTATCAGAATGTAACACAAAACAACATTTGTTTTGAATAGATAAATAAATAAAATAAATACCTATTTGTACTTTTAATAGCTTGTGCTTCATCTAGTACTAAATATTGCCATTTAATACGGTTAAAATATTTAAAATCACTGACAATTAATTGATAACTAGTAATAACAACATGAAAACTTGCTTCTTCAGTATGTAAACCTTTTTGATCCCAAAATTGTCTTAAAATTTTTCTTTCCTATTGAGAATGACAATTTAGTAAAATAAATTTAATGAGATTTGATCAATTAAATTCTATGAATTTATTGTAGCAAAAAGAGAAAAATTAATGTAAATAAATATAGTAAATGTTAAATAATATGAGTATTAGTTTCATAAGTACTCTAATCTATTTTTATATATTAATAAAAAGAAGAAAAATGTTTCTTTGTTACTTAAATACTTCTTTTAAAAAATATTTATTAAATTACCTGAGGATTTCCCCAATATGGAACTACTTTAAATGCAGGAACAAATCTTGCTATTTCTTGTTGCCAATTATGAAGAGTAGATGAAGGAGAGACAATTAAAAATGGTCCCCACACACCTATTAAAAAATAGTCACATAAAAGGAATAAAGTAATTTTGAAAATTATTGTAAATATTACATACGATAAGTTTCTGCAATATGGCACAAAAAAGCAATTGATTGAACTGTTTTACCTAATCCCATTTCATCAGCCAAAATTCCATTTATACCCTGTATTAAAAAATCATAGATTATTTATTTTATCAAACATAAATGTGTTAAGTGAATAATTTACTTGATCATAAAGATTAGCAAGCCAGTTCATTCCTTTTAGTTGATAATGCTTAAGGCTACCTTGGAATATTGTTGGCTGAGGACGTTCTTCATTCGGGGGTGGAGTATTGATTTTTAAATCAGGATCATCAAATTCAAAAGATTGGTTAGCATGAGCATCTAATGCTTTTTGAGTATTTTGTAAAGCTTTTTCTTTCATTAAATCACTATAAATTTTTTGACAAATAACTTGAAGTATTAAAATTTTATAAAATAATATATAAATAATAAAATAATCATAATAATGTATTTATATATTATACTTAAATATCAAATTGGCAGATAATGTACATTATTTAGTTAACTTAAGCTAAACTATTTTAACTAATGTCGATAAAAGATTTTTAAATTACTATGTTGATTATAAATTATAATATGCAGCAAACTTATTTTTTTTAACAATGAAGTTCTTTTGATCATTAGTAATTTAAATAATCAGCAAATTAAGACTGAGTATAATACTCATTTAGTTGGCTTATTTAGTCATAATGTTGGCTTCTGTTAAAGAAAATGTTTACATTATTACAATATTTAAATTGTGTTTTGCGATGTAGATTAGATATTTTATAAGTTTCATTTTAAAATCGTCTTTTTTTCTATCTTAATCAAGCACAACAAGCTAATAAAACTGTACTTCACAGCTGTAAAAATAACCAATTTCTTTTTTGTAAAAGTAATTTTACATTGAAAAAATAATTTTCAAATATTTCTTTGTTACTTGATTATTAAAATATGTTTATTTACACATTTTTCATTTAACTAAGATTTTCAACTTTTGAAAAAAAAAAAAAAAATGATTGTTAATAAAAAAAGGAGGAAAACAGTAAGTAAGGAGTCAAAATAAATTCCCTTGAAACAAAACGAGTAAATAAAATAAAAATAAATTATTAGGTTTACAACCTTATATTTTCCAAACTTAACGTGCTACAGAGGGTGGTGGCCCTCTTTCACATGTTAGGGGGTTAAAAAGTCTGGTTAAGCCATTGATGAACAGGATGAGTATTATCGCTGGCTTGCACCTGACACAGACATTACCAAAGAGTTTCTAATAATCCTGTATATTATTATAGTTTATTTATCGAACGGTTAACTAACAATAAAAGGGCCTAGGGCATTTTTTCCACTCTCTTAGTACTAACACTGGGGCTGACAATAAACAATGATTACTTCTTAAATATATAATATTTAATACATATACTGTACGTCATAACAGGTGGTGATTTTAAAGTGTATTTCATTATTTATACATATTTATAAATATTTTTTGTAAACATCATATCTTATTACGTATTAGGTCACTATGTTGTAAGTAATGCTTTACGACTAGTTTTACCGGGGTGATTTAAAGATATACATAAAAAATAAGAGGGTCCCTAATTTTTTTTTAAAAATAAGGTATAACAGGAATAAAAAAAAGAGGCAAATTTTATTATTCCCTATTCTATAAAATGTTTTATATCAAAATAAATAAATAAAAATATATTTAAAAGTAATTATATGTAAATTTAATATCTAATTAATTTTGTTGTCAAGCAACAATAACTAGTTACTGTCAAATAATATATTGTGAAATCTATTTTAAGTGTTAAAGTTGATAATTCTTAAACATTTTTTAGTGTTGGGATTTATTACAAAATTAAATAGTGAAAACAATATAACAGAATGAAGTTCTTAAAGAAAATTTTTAATAAGATTATCAGAATAAATAACAAACATGATACGATAAACGTAGGAGTACATGATTAAATAATTAATAATGTAAAAAAAATTGCAAGTATTATTATGACCTCCAGGCAGCCGAGAAAAAAGCAAGGCTTTTAAAAGAAATGTTGTCAAAGTCACAAGACAAAGTACAAGATTGTTTGCGTGAGATAGAAAATCTTAAGTCATCACTAAAGATTAATGAAAATGTTATGAATGAAAATTTTACGAGTGACGTGTCTAAAGTTTTGGTTGGTGATGATAAACTTTTGGAAATTGATTGTAGAATTTTTTTAGCTGGAGATACCATTCCAAAAAAAAAAAAGAAAAATTGTACATCTCAGTTGACTAGATCTGCTCAGCACAAAAAAAGTTTGAAAGAAAATTGATTAATGCTAAACTAAATAAGAAAAATAATTTTACTGAAAATTCAACTGAAAAGTTGAAGAATTTGGAATATTAGGGTTAAAAAAACTTATTTATTTACTTATTTAAAGTTGACAATAAGAGTCTTGTCAGATTTGTTTGTGAATAATTTGTAATATTATTGTCATTAGTTAGTTATTTAGTAAATTTATATTTGCCTATTCACTTAAATTTAATATAACAAATAGAATTCCATGCATAAGTACTATGGTAAACAAAGGGTTTACTTCTTAATTTACCATAATCTAGTAATTATATAGTTACCTCAAATAATTATATAGATCATACACCAGTATCTCCAAGTCTATCATTGTTTAAGTTTAGTTTTATGTTATTGATTGAGACATAAGTACTAATTGTATTATTATTGTTGTTGAAATTTAAAGAAATTATTTTTCTAATTAATTTTATATTTTAAAGACAGCTGATGTGAGAGATTGTGTCAAGTGGAAGTTTAGGATAAGGGTGGCCGGCCCCAAATAGTTGGGACTAAGGCAAAGAAGAATTTTTTATTAATGCTATTGAGCCAGAAATGTTATTTAATTATATTTTATTTTACAATTTGTTGATACGCCAAGGGAGCTAACATTATATATTAATTAGTGATTATTATTTTTGTTAAATTATTTATTGATAATATTATCTACTATTGTTATTTAGACTTTGAGTAACTACTTATTTGTTTAGTTTTTAAGTACTACATACAAACCTACATTCCTACACACTATACACATTTAGCATCACATAGATCACTTGTCTTGCGCAAGTGACCCCTCTCATCACTAGTGACTCTATTAGATATTAATATACATACTAACAGGTTGATCTGGTTCGGTAACAAAAGACGACTTAGCGTTGGCATCTTAAGCAGTTAAAACTAACATCCCTAGACACTACAATTATATAAAGAAATAATGTTTTTTTTATATTATAGTTATTAGATTAATATTTTGATTAAGAATTTATTAAAACTTTTCAATGATGAATGATAAAACTTGATAATAAAATGACATTATAATAAATATGAAATTGTTTTATTACAACAAAAAAGGTCAAAAACTTAGGTCAAATTTTTATCATATCAAAGAAAGCAAAAAGTTAACTTTCGACATCGATATTGACGAAAAAAATAATAAGTTGATTATTAACCATAAAATGAATTTCTTATTATAATCACTGTTAATTTATTATGAGATCGATACGTGTACAATAATATGATGTCGAATAAACTGATTTACGATAGGAAAAATCATTACGGTCTGTAACGCCTCATCGAAAAATTAATAAAAGACTGAACATACTCCCCGCCTTAAAATATTATATTTCAACATGAATAAATAATAAATAAATATAAAAATCAATAATATATATGATAGAAACAACTGTTACAAATATCAATAAAGCATAATGCAAAGATTAGCAAATAATTACAAGCACATAATAGCTATATTAATTTAAGGAATTTCTTACGAATTTCACTAGACTTCTTTGAAACAAAAAGAGTAACTGACTTAAAATTTCACTTAAGATAAAAATTTACCTGTTATAGTTTTCAATTTGCATTAATCTAGGAATTTTTTCTTCATCTAGTTGATTTAAAATTCTTAATTGTTCTTCAGCAGAACTTTGACCAAGTTTTTTTGACATAAAATGTGCATATAACTCAGTTTGAGTAATTAAAAAGTTTAGTTTTCTTTGTTGACGTTTAGCCTAAATTGAAATACAAATTTATCAAAAAGAACAAAAATTATAGTAAAATGCTTAATTTATAAATATTAGGAAAATGAATAATTTTTATTAATTTAACTAGTTTTATTGATATTATAAATTGGAATTGTCTTAGAACATACTTCCATTAATTCAACATCCATTTTCCTTTGTTCTTCGGCTTCTTTTTCTTGTTTTTTGCGAGTTTCTCTTTCATTTCGATCATATTTTTTCCAATAAGTAAGCATTTCACGTGTTAATCGTTTTGCTCGCCATACATTTTCCTTCATGTTTTTTTGACTCTATTTGGTCAAAATAAAACATTATACTCTTAAAATTTGAACTAACTTTCAAAATAATTGAAGTGATAAATTTTCATTAAGAAATAATTTTAAAAAAACGTGGAAATGTATTGTTAAATTAGAAAAATAGAATGATATAAAACTAATCATTTATTTTTTCCAAGAAATAATTAAATACTCATAGGAATAAGTAAAGATTCTAAACCTTTACACAAGTGAATTTGAAAAAAATTTTGGATTGCATTTTGTAACTTTTATATATTTTTTATTTTTTTTCTTATGTTCAAGTGAAACTAGGAGTTTATTATCAATCTGGAAAAGGATATCGAGGCGGTGAAATTAATTTTCCTCTCTAAAAGTTTTATAAAATTATATTTTTATAATTATTTTGGCTCACATAAAATGCTTACATTATAGTTTTTAAAATTAATAATTTTGTAATATTATAATAGTGGAAGCTCACTTGGTCAAGTTATGCCTTCATTTTTTAGAAAGGATCCAAAATATAATAAATAGATTAGTTGGCACCACTATAAGTTTGCCTATGTTGATAGGATAAAAAAAATTTGATGTTATATAAAAAATGAAATATTATCAAGGTACATAAAATAACAAACATAATTTATAAATAGAATATTAACAGAGTTTAAGAAACCTTAGACTCGAAAAATTCACAATTTTTCATTATTTTTAGTTAAAAAGGATTAACATTTAATTTATTTAGAAAAGTTACATGTAATATTATGTATAAATATTTTTGAGAGGGAAAATTAAATTAATCTTAGTTTTTAATGATTTTATTTAACTCTATGAAATAGTACAATATAAAAATAACTATCACAATTGGAATATTAATTAAATTTAGATTTCATATAACTTACTTGTATTGCTTTTTGTCGTAAATGTTTCATACAAGATTGAGCTGTTCGACGGCAAGTAATCAAAATTTCTTTATGGTTATTATTTTTCATTCTATGTATCTAAAACAAAATTTTTTTTCTCTAGATTTCACCTCTTATTTTATAATATTTATGTCATACTAATTATAAATATTTAACAAATAATATACCTTCCCCATTTCTTTTTTTGCCATATGCAACCATAATTTTTTTCTTTTCATAATAACTACTTGGGCTGTTTTTGCTTCTAATAAAGCTTTCTTTTTTTCAAGTTTCAGTGTTTTGGCAGAAGGACTAAGTGATCGTGTTTTTCGTTTAGTAAGTTTTTTATCATTCTCTGAGCTCTATAATATGAATACATGTAAGGTTTATACATGAAGAATATATATAAAAAGTATAAGTACTTTATGCTTGTGCCTGACATTGGATGGTTTAATTTTTTGTATATTTTTCTTCTCTGTTCTAGTTTGATATTTGTCAAAATTAGATAGTAACCCAGAACTATAATATCGACATCGGTTTTTCTAAAATAATAAAATTTAATCAATTTTTTGATTTTATAAAAATTTAGAAAAATAAAGTAATAAATGAAATGTATATTTTTTTTTTAATAAAAAATTAATAAAATGAAACTAGTTACATTTTTAGCCACTTGAAATTGTTGTTGACATTTTTTCTTAAACAAATGAAGCTTCAACATATTTTCCAGATCTTCTTCAGTTACTGTTTCATCTGGATCATCAGAATCATTACTATTTAAGAGAAGACTTTGAAGCCATAAACGGTCATCTCCTACATTAGATAAATTATAAAATCTCGTACGGTCAGCAATTCTTTCTGAAAAATAATTTTAAGTACTTTTAAAAGTGATACCATAATTTTAACATTTATTCAAAGATAATTATAAAATAATTCCCTCCCTCCAGGGACTTTCATACACACGTAATTTATCTTTTGTCAAATGCTCCTATACAAGAAACTAATTAATTTATGATGCATTAAAAAAAAAAAAAACTTTTCAGAGTTATTTATATTAAGAATAATAATCTTTACATCAAGATATTTTTAGCCACTATTGATATAAAAATTACTTTAACATTTTCAATAATTATTGATGTTGAATTAATACCATAAAGAATGTTCAAAAAAATTCTAGGGTTCTAAATAAATTAAATATTACTCTGTGTGTGTTTTTTTTTGAAAAGACTTTTAAATTAATTAAAGACACATGACTACATGCTACAAAATAGTTTCAACACTAAATTTAAGAAGTGTCCATAAGCTTAAAGATTGATAATTTAGTTTTAAATTAGTTAAATAATTACCTTCTGGAGTTTCAAGATCACTAAAATCTCCATCTAAATCAGTATCACTAGAATCCTCACTATTAATAAATATTAAAATAAAATAAAAACATTTATAAAACAATTTTTTAAATTACCCTAATGGAATCTTAAAGATATTTTCTACATAATTTAAGTATGGCTCAATATTAATTGCTTGAATGATACGTTGATAATGAAGAGGTAAAGCTATCTCATTATTATTCATTTCTCCATACATTATTATTTAATTATAACTACAATTAAAGTCTGTACATTTTTTTTAATTTTTGTCAATAAATATTAGGTACACAAACATATTACTAAACTATTTCGTTTTCTAAGAAGTAAAATATATTTTATGACACACTGAAAATTTCAATTACACTAATTACATAAATATCCATAAGAAGAAGTGTGTATAAGTAAATAAATAAGTTAAGAGTTAACATTTATTTTCATTAGAATTTTAGAAGATTGTTTACTGTCAAGCCGACTAAACTGATAATGAATTATATTATTTATAAATGATAATAATATTGATGCTATACCTCAGATCATTTATAATGATACATTCACATGCGACATTAATCTATCCGACAAAAAGCCACATGTCAAACAACTTACTAATATCAATATATATTATTAATATATGAAATTACACTGATTAACAAAATGATTGTTTTTTTTAATCATCGGAAATAAAAGTGTACTTTTAGAAATTTCTAAAATTATCTATAATTGTGTACTTACTGGGATTAATTGTCGTTAGTTTTTCATATTTTAATACATAAGTTAGAACCTTAGCTAGTCAAATATTAGACTTATTTTTATAGTTGCGTTTCCACGCATCAACATACATTTTTCAGGACCGTTGAGGGTTAATTTTTCCTAGATTTAAGCGTCGTCGTATTTTTTTATTGCAAAATTACTTCATAAAATTAATTTTGAGATGTAAAAAAAAGAAATTTTATATAAGGTCCAGATAGCTTTTAAAATATAGAATAGTAGGGAAATTCACACCTCCATTACCTCTCATACAATGTTTTAATGTCTAAGTGGGGCCCGAACCCCTATTAAATAGCTCTCCATTTTTAAACAAAATAGTCTTCGAGATTTTTGTAGTCAATTAAAAATGGACATTCTGCCTAATACCGTGTCTTAATCAGTAGAACGTGTGTCCGAATAATTCGACAACTCAGAAAACTGGAATTGTTCCATACATAGAGATAACATCTTTTAGTATGTTATGCTCATCATCCTCGAGTTCGTTTTTAACGGATTAAGTTAGGTTGTCTATTGGTTTGTGAAAGAATTGTTTAGCATCAAAATTACGTTTTGTTCACAAAACATAACAGGCATGGATCATTGTTGATTTTTTCGATTTCTTAACTCTATAAAAAATAATAATTTATTTTTCAGTAACCATTTGAACTAGTAAATGATTTGTTAAAAATTATTTAGGATATGTCTATTTTTAATACCAAGAGTAAATTATTAACTTAATTTATTTGTATTGAATTTTTTTAAAGATATTACTTAATTCAAAGTTAAACAATTCCCTTGTATAACATGAGAAGGATAGTTGAGTTTATATTTTATTACACAAAATATTTCATGATCAGGCTGTGAAATTAAAAAAAAAAATTGTATTTAGGGAGAAGTTTTAAGAAGATTGAAAATCTGTGCGGCTGCTAATGTGTTTGAAATTCTACCGGAAAAGAACTTTACAAAATTTATTGTCCCTTTTTTTATTTGAAACAGTAGGGGTGTTTTTATTATTGATCTTCCGATGTTAACTTTTATCAGTTTGCTAATGGCACGTATTAAGACACGTGTTGATCAATCAACATGTGAACATTTCAAATCAAGTAAAAGTGTGTACTACGTAGTAACGTATCAATGCTTGATAAGGAAAATATCTAGTTTAAATTTTAAATTGAAAAAACCCACCAGGAAACTACTTAATGCCACTAATTTCAGGTTTTTATGTGAATTGCACAATTAACTTTTAAACTGTTACTTCATTTTCTAAATGCCTTAAGTATCAGTAGATTTTTAGTTCAGTAAGATAATTTAATCATTTAAAACTACATTACATGAATTATATTCTATTTATTTTTGTTATTTAATGTGTATAAAGTCTATATTGAACAAATCCTATTAAATTACTATTTTCATTAAAGCAATTTATTCTCATAGATGGCTTCTGCAGTTGATATGCGCTGGAACTGTATGAATACTAAAGAAGATCTAATAAAAATGTTTACTGGATATATTGATCATGATGTTATAGAAATGATAATAGAATGCCGAAACAATGATTGTAAGTTATACATTTAATAATATATTTGTATTAATATTTTATTGAAAAAAAAAACAAGTCCATATGTTATTTTTCTAACTGAAATATTGAGGTTGTGCTTTAAGGATTGTGTAAAAATTAAACTTCTTTATTATATAAAATAAAAACTACTAGTGGTATCAAAAAAAATCATTTTATTTTTGAATTAATCAACTCAAAAATGATTTTTTTGTACCCTCTTTATTTTCTAAACATTTTTGTGATTGTGGTAGGCTTTTACAGTCTAGCTTCATAGCTCTTTGTTGTCCCTCCCTTTAAAAGTCGGTCAGGTCTAGAGAGAATAGTGAATGAGGAATTTTGTCCTAATTAAAAGATTTAAGTAAAGCAAAAGAACACCTTTCAACTATAAACTATGACATTGATTTTGAAGATTCTTTTATAAATTCTTCAAAACTTTTCAATATTTGTTAGCATTAATAGTCTCTTTTTTAAATTGTCAACGAGTAAAATGTCTTTTTTTTGTTAAAAATATTCCAGTAGAAATACTTAGGAAGCTTAGGAATTTTTCTAAGCTTATCTCTCCTCTTGCCAACATTCAAGTTATATCAAAGAACTGATTAAATAGTTATATATATTTTTTTATAAGAACAGTCAGTTAAATTATAGTTTGATTTATTACTATGAATGGTCTAATAACCCCCTAACTTAAAGATAGATTAGACACAATAAGTAGTATGCAAAAAATATACTATTTTGACAAATTTTTGGAAAATTTTTCTGTGATTTAATTTATCAACATACTATAAAAATAGTATTTAGAGAATATAAAAAACAAAATTAGTTATTATAATATATGAAATTTAGTTATTAAAAGTAAAAATTAATGAATTATTTTTAGTTTTTAAATTTTGTTGAAAACACAGCAGCTGGCATAATTTTTATAGTATACTACTATAAACTGCTCCTCAATTTTCTCTAACAATGTGTGTTATATAAAGGTCTTAGTTGATTTTAATCTTTTTTTTATCAAATTTAATTCTAAACTGTTAAAAATATTGGAGTAAGATTGAGTTTGGAAGGTAAAATATATTTATTTAAAAAAACAAACTATGAGTACATTAAACATTTTTGTTAAAAAGTTATTTCCAATTTCAGTACTTTTAGCATATCGAGATCTACTTCAATTAACTAATCCAGCACCAAATAGTTCTGTAGAACTATATACTGAAGAGAAACAAGTAATGAATTCTGAAAATGATGCTTTTAATACTCTTGATAATGTCAATTGGGATAAGTTATCATCAAATGAGACTCCCACCAGTAGAATACTTTATTTAGTTTCTAAAGGATATAAAGTTATGATTATTATGAGAGGTTGTCCTGGAAGTGGAAAATCATATCAGGCTACTAATATTTTAAATCAATGTTACAAAAATGTAAACTGTGATGAATTTATATATAGTGCTGATAAATTTTTTATCAATAAAAAAACAGGTCGTTACCACTTTGATCGTTATAAAATAAAAGAAGCTCATCAGTGGGCATTTAGCAATACACAAAAAGCTGTTAAAAATGAGATTACTCCAATTATTATTGATAACACAAATGTTGAGCTTTGGGAAATGGAAAATTATGTTAAATTGAGTGTTAATAATGGTTATTGGATTGAAATTTTGGAACCAAATACTGAATGGGCTTGGGATGGCTATGAATTGAGTAAAAAAAATTCTCACCAAGTGCCTTATCATACTATTTTAAGAATGTTACAACAATATGAACGTATGCCTAATGTTGAAAGCTTATTAAAAAAATTTAAATTTAAATATAATAAAAATAATCAACCTCCAAAATTGTCTAACACTTATAAAAAATATCAACTTTGTGAATTACTTAAAGATGAAGAAAAAAAAGTTAACAAACCACCTAATGAAATTAATGATCAATACATTAGTGATCAGTTTAAAGATTTACATATTTCAACAGAATATATAAATTGTAAACAAAACTATGAATGGCCTGTTAATAATATAGATGAAGATTCTTGGACTGAATGTACAATTAATGAGAAAGAAATCAAAGATTCTTCTCAAATATTTAATTCTATTGAGAATAAAGAAGATTTTATCAATAATATTCCTTCAAATTTTATTGATAAATCTGTTAATACCTATGAAAATGATTTTTTATTCATGCAAGTATTAGAAGAAATTCCTTCAGAGGAGTATAACCAATATGTTTTTTATGGAAAATATAGAGACATAAATGAAGGAAATAATAGTAATATATTAAAAGTTTGTGATGGTAAGTTAGATAAGGGTACTATGACATTAGATGATACAAACTTAGTTAATAAACCTACTTTTGATGACTTACAAAAACAATTTCCTCAAAATGTGTGTTCACTTATTATTGAACTATTTGATAAATGTGAAGGAAACATTGATTGGATTGTAGATGTATTAATTGAATCTGGACATGATATAACTAAACAGCAGCTTCATGGGCTAGTAAAAGTAGAAAATTCTCATATTGGAAAATCTTTTAATGATAATAATACACAAGAAGCCATAAAATCTGATTTGATTCCTGATATTATTTGTTCAACTCCTCAAATGAATATCAAAGATAAAATTGAAAGTGAAATAAAAATTAATAAAAATACTAATGATTTTAAGAGTAAATTACTAGAATTGGATAAGTATAATAATTATGATGTGCTAAAAAAAGAATTGGAAAATAAATTTGTTTTTGGTGAATCATCATATTCTGAGCATCTATTGAATATCAAAAAAATAAAAGAAGGTTATGATTCTACCAATAATTGTACTAAAATGTTACCAACAATCATAGATGTGGGTACCTCTGCAATACTAAATGATATGGAAGAAAATTCTAATCAGGATGATACATTTGTTCAATTAGTAGTTGATACTTCTGTTTTAATTCAACTATGTGACTATTTTGGTGATTCCTCCTCAGAATTAAGTAACTAATTAAAATTTTTAACTTAAATTTTTAATAATTTTAGTTACCTATTGTTATTAGACAAAAACACTATGCCAATGTCAGTAAAACTACCTGAGAAGTTAGCTGAAGACCTGTATTTTTATTTAGTTGCTAATGTACCACCTAATATTGTTGATCAAGAAGCTATTCTGCAAGGTTACTTTTATTTAACTTAAAGACATAATAACTGATTAAAATTACATTTTATTTGAGACAAACTTTGTATAGATGAAACGTTGGCAAAAAAATTGCATGAAGAAACTATGAAAGAAAATTTTCCTGGTACATCTAATTCAATTAGTAATGTAAGTATTTATAATGAAATAGTTTTGGAACATATTTTTGGTTGCAACATTAATATTATTCCTATTTTAATAATTATCAATTATTATTTTAGGGTGAACTTACCTTTGCTGCAGTATTATCAAGAAAATTACTTCTAGAAAAATTTAAAAATCTAGATTCAAAACTTGTATTAAATGTATTACGGGCAAAGGATTACAAGTTTCAAGTATTGGCAATTGAAATAAATATTTAGTAATAATTAATTAGTTATAGGAATTAATATTTAAATTGTTTGCTATTTATTTTATCAATATTAAGTGTCATATAAAAGTTAATTATAAAAATTAAAATTTGTTTTCAAAGTATAGTTCACTTTTTAAAATATTAAAATAACAAATTGACTGTGAAGATATCTAGATATTTAAAAATATATTAAGATTTATTTAAATAAAATAGTATAAACTCAAATGTTAAATGTAAAGTAATATGTCAAATATTTCAAGAGATGAAAAAGTGTATTCAATTTTGTATGTTTATATTGCCAAAAAGTGTTTCACATTTTAACTGAAAATAATTATTTTTTTTATTATTATTTAAACAAATAATATAATATACTTTTTTTTTTTTCTGGTATAATCTTAAGATTTTTAACATTTAAATGTTGAATGATTTTGTATTGTTTTTAAAATTTCATTACTACATATTAAAATAAATATTTAAATAAATAAATCTGTTTGTATTCTATTTCAGGAAGCAAGTGATGTTTTGAGTAAAGTATCTGGTATAACGCCAATAACAAATAAGAATAAGGAAAATATTCTGGTATGTAAAAATTATGTTTTAAACTTTGTATGAAAAAGTTTTAAGCTTAAATATTATTATTTTATTGAAATTTCCTATCTAGTCTAATGATGATGATGATTATTATTTCCAAGAAGAACAATTAGAAGATACTAGTACGCAAAATTACACACAAGAAGCTTTACAGCATGCTAATGTAAGACAGCAATTTTTAAGTAAAGCTAACCTCTCAATTAGTTCAAAAATTCATCCAGCTGTTACTGCATACTACTTGGATAAGGTAAAAATTAACTATTATAGTAATAACTTCATAGATTATGGTATCTTAATTAGACCATCAAGTAATGGTGGTTTTATTTATAGAAATATATCTTAATATACTAAAAAAGGAATTTTGGTGTCATACTCAATTTTACAACCCACACATTTTTGTCACAATACAGTGCCTTACCATTAGTCTTACCCTTAATTTTTTTCTGATTCAAACTCTTTAAATATGAGATTGCTACATGTACAGTTTAAAGTAGAAGAGATTTGTTCAACCTAGGTAACTAATATTAATAATTAATAATAAAATTTTAGGCTGAAGAATCAAAACAAAATGAAAAATATGCAAAAACTAAAGCTTTAGTTGCAATACTTACTAATAATAAAAATGTAACAACTTTAGATTTACATTATTTGCAAGTATGAATGTATAATATATAAATCATATATTACATAAATAATATTGTATTAAAAATATATATAACAGGTTCAAGAAGCTTTGTTAGTGTTAGATTTATACTTAGATAATCATATAACTTACTTGAAAAAACTTAGTGGACTTTACAATAGAGGAAGACAATTGACTATTATTACTGGTCGAGGAAAACATAGTCCTAAAGGGATTGCTCGTATAAGACCTGTTGTTTTAAGAAGACTTCAAATTAGAGGCTTGACGTATGTTAAATAATACTGACTAAATTTAATTTCTTTCCACCTAACAGTATTTTTGTATAAAACAATACACATGAGTTTTTTTTAATTAAAAAAAACTTAGCTTAAGTTTCCACATTTTATGCCAATTCATTCATTTTAATTTATAATGTATTAAATTTTATTTAAACATATATATATATATATAATTTTAATTGCAGTTACATGGAACCAGAAAAACCAGGTATGATCATGGTAATCATTAAAAAAACTTCTTTACTCAGTTCACAAATATAATATTGACTAATGTAAAATATTGACATAATGACTGACTCTTCATAATTGTGCACTAATGTACTTTTTATTTATGAATCATCAAATTACACTTAAGCTTTATGTAATAACTTTTAAGGTTTATTATTTGTATATATTGTTTATCAATGATAACTATATAAAATTTAATAATAATAATGATGTATTTAATATATTTGTCAACAACATTGTCTATAATAATAAATATTTGTGTAATAGATACAAAGTATATAAATACTAACAATATTTTTATAATTAAATAGATTATATTTTTCTGTGTAATTGTTAATTTTTTTTACTTGTAAACTTGTATTTGACATATGAACCTGTTATAATTTTTATCATTGTAAATATTATTGTTGTCATTTTTGTAGTTAAAAAAATTGTTTAAAACTGTTGAAATTGGAAGTATATTAAAAATAGTATGATTAATGAAATGCAAATATATACAGGATGATCGAAATCTGGTATTATTTTCTCAGAAACTATTGAGAATTTAAAATTTTTGTAAAAAGAAAAATTATTAAGTTTATAAAACTACAATAATATGAAGTTACATAAATTTTTTTTTTTTATCCCTTCAGGAATAAAAATGTTTATTTACAATTTTTTTAAATGGGAACCACTATTTTTGATTTGATATGATAGAAAAAAAAATTACAAACAATTTTGTTCTTATAATTTTTTTTATCCGAACAACCATTTACGTTTTATAATTGTTTAAAGATTTTGACTATATGTTATAGGGGTATCAACTTTTTTTTATGGAAACGTATTTAACTAGCTTTTAAAATAGAAAATAATGTAATTGAAAAAATGACTGGTTCATAACAACTTTTGGTCAAGTATTTCAGAAGCTATTTAATTTAACATTTTATATTTGAGTGAGAGGAGGAATAAGGCTGAGAAATATCTAATCATAAGAATATCAACACTCCACTCCTCAACTTTAGTCATTACTTTAAATTATTAAACTAAACCATAAAATAGAGATTACTTAAAATGTATAATGCATTTATTATTATTATTATTGTTAAACATCATTATTATATCAAGCTTCTTTACTTTACTTTATTTAATGGTTTTCTAATGTAAAAAAATATTTTTATTAAAGTAATAATTTAAAAATTTGAATTCCTATCTAAACATTTTTTCAGTTTTTTTTTTTTTTAACTGAATTGTAACTTAAGTTTTCAATTTCAAGTTAAAAATACAGGATAAAAAAAAATATATATATATATAAGGTATACTTTTTTATTCAGTACTTACATGTATAACATACATATTTATTATAATTAAAATAATTGTAACTATCATAATAATCCCATATTTATTTATATACATCTCACCAAAAAATATATTTAATAAAATAATGCACAAATAATAAAATACAACAGATAATAGATTTACAAAAGAAATATATATATATAATAGTTAAATATGTAAATTAATAAATCACAAGAATTAATATACTATTTCTTAACATTTGAAAATAATTATACATGGTTTAATTATTGTAAAACTACTATTATTTATGTATGGGAATAAATGGACTAATTTGAAGTAAATTTGAAATATTTAAGTATAATAAAACCAGATATGATATACTGCATAATATCACAATTAAATATTTATGTTGTATACAAATTTTATGTCACAACAAATTCTGTATTGTAATTAAATTTAATAAAACCACCAAATTTTAATATTATTTTATCAACTTCTACATGTCTTTTAATGAGTAATAGTTAAAATTTACTGAATAATTAAAATCAACTAGTTTTGTAATCACTGAGACGGATTGTAAACAGCTGTAGATTGATTCATTTGAAAAATTGAATCTGGGGTTATATTTTCCATTTGTTTAGTATTGTTCATTACATTTACATACATATCTTTTGCACCTATATGAAACAAATAGATATGCAAAAGTGAAGAATTTATAATAATGTAGGAGATTTTATACCTCGTTTACGTTGAATTTTAAACTGATTCTGGTTTTGGGTAGCTGGTGAACTATTAGCTACTGGATTAAAATTTAACTCTGAATCCATAGGTGGAGCTGCTTGTTGAGATGTTGCATCACTACCAATGCTGTTTCCAATAGACTGCTTTATAAACAATATTTATACTATAAATAAAAGGATTATACATTTTATGGCAATATATTACATCAGTATTATTGGAAGGCTTCCAAAATTTAGTTAATCCTCCAAGCCATGAATTCTTATCTTTTTGCTGTCTTCTATTATCATTATCTTTTTTAATTGAAGGTTTATTTTCATTATTGTTTGGAACCTATTTATTTATAATCATAAATAAAATTTAATAATAAATATTAATAGATAAGTATTACTAAGTAATTACAATATAAAGGGTTATTTTTTTTAAATGGCAATATACATATTAAACTTTCTTATAATATAAAAAATGATTTTATTAAGAAAATGACTGGTGGATAACAACTTTTGGACCAGTATTTCAGAAGTTATTAATAACTTTCAGTAAAGACTGGAGGTGAGGAATGGGTGCTGCTATTTTTATCACTAGTTATTTCCCAAACGTACTTTTCCTCCCACCTAGGTATGAAAATGAGAATAACTTCTGAAGTACTTGTACAAAAGTTGTTATAAACCAGTCATTTTCTTAGTTAAATTACTTTCAGTTTTATAAACTAGTAATACATATGTTTCTATTTAAAAAAATTAAGTTGACATCCTTATAAGATATAAGGGATGGACCTAAAAATTATTTTATAACAGATAAATGAAAGTACATATTTAACTAACAAAAATCAAAAGAAATTTTTAAAAAACTTATAATTTTAAGAGAACTTGAGTGGCTAACATTAAAAGAATAATCCTGTATAATGTATACCTTAGGTTCTAACTCAGCCATTTGTCTGTCGAAAAATCCAAACTTTGATTCAGTTGAAATAATATTTTCTGGTTCAACAGGAGCAGTCAATGTCATATCAGGAGATATGGTTGAAATTTCAGATGTCATTTCATTCTGGTTACTATGAATATTTACATCTCCCAACATAGATGAAGGGTCATAATAATTTGTTAATTCTAAAAAATAAAAATAATTTTAGTATAAACAACAAGATTTTTTAATTGTCAGAAACCCATATCAAAAGTGTAATTAAAAATTTAAAAATTTCATTTTCTTATAATCTATTAAAAATAAAGACATATTATTAAAAATTATACAAATATACCAAAAGTTGTATTAAATTACTATTAAATTCATTTTATTGAATAAAACAATTTTTTATATATTTATAATTTTAATTAATTACCATTATTTTTTAAGAAATAATGATGCTTAGTATGAAAACAAATTAATTATTGTTTAATACCTCAATAAGATCAAATTCTTAAAGTTAATTTAAAATAAAATGTTTTTATTTATTTTTTATCAAGATCTACAGTTAATAAATTTAGGCCTTACTATTTTTTAACATATAAAAGGCATATAAAATAATAACATATTATTTTTATAAGAACAAATATTTTATTAATTTTTTTATAAAATATTAGTAATGTATTATCTAAATTTACAGTATAATGTTTTTTTTTTTTAATTTTTGTACAAAAAGAAATTATTATATAAAAAAAAACATTGGACAGAAAAATAATTCATACAACATATATATTAAGACACTATGTAGAAATATATTTTGTGATACAATAAGACAAAATGGAATTTTACTTACTGACAATGCAATTGAATGTTAATCATTGTGATCCATTAAAAGAGGATACTATAAACATAGTTTAACCCTTTCTAATATAGCTACTTATTTAGTCATAAAATTTAAAGTAATTTAACAATTAGTTTAAGTCCTCTAACAATAATTATTAACTTGATATAATTACTATAAAAGCTATTCTTTTAATGAAATCTTACTAAATAATGTATATAAAAATGTAATATTATACAATTAAAATTGATACAATTATTTAACTTAACATATTACCAGCTTGTGGAGATGGTTCAACTAAGGGTTGAGAAATAGAACTAGGCTGCCAATATGGATTAACTGATGAAGGTTGTTGAACATTTGGAGGATCTTGGATGACAGGTGCTTGATAACTTATAGAATAATCAATTTTAGTATCTGGTAACTAAATTTGTACACACAAAACATTCATTATTAATTAATAAATATTAAAACACAAAATATATTACAGATTGATGTTCTACAGTTGGTTCATTGATAATAGGTGTAGGGTTTTTTTGTTGATCAACATGTGGTGTCTGTATATAATCATTAACAGAGTTATATTCCTAAAATAAAAATATTATATTATTTTAAAATATTTTTGTGCTTAAAAAGCCATAAAAGATTGTAAATTATTTGCATATCATTGCCATAATGCAAGAAGTGATAATTTATTAAATTATTTTTTTAACAATAATTTCAAAAATTTAAAAAGTTAAAAAATTATTTTAAAACAAATTTATTTTCAATATGTGTATTATTCAATAATTAAACAATGTATTATTACAATTTTTTTTAATTTATTTAGAATTTAGTAAAATTAAAATATTGTGATAAAGTGGGAAGTGTAACAATGTAACAGATAAAATTTTAATGATATTTACTTTTCTTAATTCTGATAAAATGAGTTTCAATTCTTCTAACCAGTCTAATGTATCTATTACACCTGCTATATTTAAATTTGACGTTAGCAAATAATGCAAGTCTGTACTTAAATCTACAACATTTGATATAAATCCTGAATATACAGAGCTGGGTGATACAATTATTTGTGTTGCAATAGCTTCTAAATGTTGCAGTGCATATTCACCTTCACCATATTCAGCTAATCGTACTGCTAGTAAATATTTATAGGGCTAAAATAATATAAAATCGAATTTTTATTAGACAATGAATAAAAATATTATTTATTTATAAGAATTGAAACAATAAAAATTTATGAATTACCAAAAGGCTAGGAATATAAAAATGATTTTGGTTTAATCTAATTGCAAATTCATATGCACTAGTTATCAATATGGCACGATTTGAAACCATAGTATTAAATGGTTGATTAGAATTTGTGCCTAAAAGAGTAAATTTGGATGGCATTCCAGGTTCAATTGGCATATGAGAAGTTATATAACAAAACTGAGCACCAAATAGATCACCTTTAGTTCCTATAAATCAATTTATATTTGATTCAGTAAAATATTTTTTTCCATTTTGTATAAACCTATATATGCAGTTTAAAATTTAATGAAAACCAACCTAAAGTATCCCCAAGTTGTAATACAGCATTATAAGCATTATTCAAATTCACATGTTGGTTACTTAGAATCATTGCTAAATGTTCTCTCCAATCACCCCATGAGTTGTCTGAACAGCACTAGAAAAGGGAAGAATAGTTAAATAAGTTATTTTTTGATATACAGTACACAAATAACATAATTTATTTATTTCTCTATTTTTATAACCATATTAAAAATGAATTAAGTATCACAATAATAATAACAAAAAATAATTAAATAACTTACAGTTACGCATGATGGTATTTTTCCACTATTCAGCTGGAAAAATGTCTGTAATGTGTCATTTAGAGGTATTGTTTGGAAGAATTTAGACTTAACATAGTTAAAAGTTTTTAAGTCTGTAAATGAACTTAGGACAAAAGCTAATCCCCAGTTTTGACTTTGTAAAGCAAATTCTAGGTGATTTACAGAAAGAGAAAATTATTATAATATAAAATTAGTAAAAGTAACACTCACCTAGTGCTTCTGATGTATTTCCTTGTAGTAAAAAATCTCTAAAACTTGTTAAAGGTTCATTTGTTAATTCTTTATCATTTTTAGAACTTATACTATCTAATAAAACACCGTTAGATGGATATTTAGCAACATTTTCCATTAACAATTCAGATACATCTGTTCCATCAACTGACTACAATCATCAAATTAATTTTTTTATAGATAAGATGCTCTAAATATAATAGAAATCACAAGTATATATTCTACAAGGTATTACATACTCCACTTCTTTTAGTTATCATACAAATTAATTCATACAACAATCTTTCAGAATTATTTGATGCCTCATCTACTAATCGATTTAAATATTGTGCAACAACATTTTTATGTGTTTTACCTCTACAATGTTACAAAAAAGTTAATTCAAATTATGAAAAATATTTAATTATAATTATATTTTATACTAACATAACAAAAGGAGAAGGAAATTTAAAAAGTTCAATAGCTTCTTTGTTGTCTAAATCAGGTGAGACTTTAAAAACTTCTAAAGTTGAATTAGATGAATCCAGCATGATCAGTTTTCCAATAGTCTTATTCATTTTTGCTGTAATATTCATAAGCTTAAACTATTTTTATATAAATACCATCGTCCAATAACATATTTTGAATAATATTATTTTTGTGTGGTAACAAAATAATAAAACTTTTTGCCACTCATTTCAAATAATTAACATCAGAGTTGTACAAATAAAATTAATAAACGTTTTCACCCAAAAAACTGAATTATTATTTTTCTTTGAGATAAAAGTCTTTTAAACATTATTTTTTAGATATCTCAAATAACACTTTTAAACAGTATGTACAATCTAACTACAAAAAATTAAAAACTTAATTTATATAATTATTTTAAACAGTAACTTAAGTTATTGTTGGGTGTTTCCTACTTTTAAATAACTTATAATTACCATTAATGTGATATTTTGGATATCTAGGTGGTGTAGTACGATGAATTTCTCTTTGTTTCTCTTGCTCCAGAGTTAAAGAAGCTCTAGAATTATATTAATATATTTAGAGAAAGACATTTTTAAATTAAATATTTTGCAATTAAAAAAAATCATAACATACACATCATGTACATGTGGTTGAGATATAGGTGTACTACATTCTGAACCATTTTTTGTTCGTGAGATTAATTTTTGCATCTCTACTTTGGTTTTATAATTTGCATACCACTCTGTATAAGCTTTAGGATTAGTTTCTCTAAATTTCAACAAGAAATTTTTTCCTAAAAATTAATCCACAAGATAAATTATTAAAATTAAAATTTATTAAAATCAATAATGTAATATTATATTAATATTAAATCTTACTTTCATAGGGATCAAGCATTTCTATATGAGTTGAGTAATCTTGAAATGGTACAGGTGAATATCTTCTATGATAATCAGAATCTGTTCTACTAGGTGGCCTTTTGTAATTAATATCCTCCCTTCTATAATAATGACTACATAATACCAAAAATTATTAAAATAATTTTTTCCTTTGTACAGCAGTACATTATAGTTTACCTCATATCTTCTGGATATCTTCTATCCCGGTGATGTCGTATTGGAGGTCTTCTATAACGATCAGATTCTGGACTTCTATTAACAGATAATTTCATAAAAAAATTATAAATGTAAATCTGTTTACAACACTAGCTGTGTTTTATAAATATTTGATATTGGTAAAAGAAAAAGAATTTTAAATAATCATTAAAGAGTATTTTCAAGGATAACTTTTAAAACTTAAATAGCACTAACGGTCATTTATTTTACTTATAAACAAAATAAGTCCAAATTAAAAATGAAAATTAATAATTAATACTGTACAGAAATTATTTTAAGTATTTTTTATACCTGGATATTCTTGTGTGTACTGTGATAATTTATATTAATCATATTATTTTAAGTTAAGTACACTATTTTCATTTAAAAATTAAAATAGCAAAAAGTTTTAAAATTATATTAGGTAAATTTTCAAATTTTATAGTTTAAATGAACTATTATAATTAAATTAACCAAAAACTCATTTAATTAAATACAACTAATAAAACACATTTATAAATAAAAACTTTCCAAAATATATGATTTACCTTAAGTTTTTGCCAATGTCATTCTTTAATAAATATTTAGACCTTTTAATATAACACACACTATTAATAGTTATTAATTGTAATGGTATAAAAGTAAAAAAAAAACCAGCACAGTGGAGACGTAGCATAGTTGGGTCAAGTATAATGATATCTGGCAGTGATTAAAATCATATCATAAAAAATGCTTCGATGCAAATCTGTAGATAGTGTTTAATTTTAAAAAATTGGTGCATTAATCTAAAAGCTACATTATTTCCTATTTTCTTATTTATTCCTGATTACAAGTTTTATAAATTATAAGTGTAATATATGAATAAATATATATCTATATAAAGGGAAATGGTTTTATTTAAAAAGAAGTATTTCGCATAAAAGAAAAATATAGAAAGCACTTATCTTAAAAAAATTATAATGAACTATAAATTTTACAAAAAGTTAAGGCATTATAAAGTTAAAAATGTAAAATATAAAATCGAGCATTTTAACACAAAAATAGTATACGGTAGTCAATTTCACTGTAAAGACAAAATAAAGTCTAAACATTTTTTTTTTTGATAATGAAGTATAGTATATAAGTTTTAATTTAAGGTATATATAAAAGTGTTATTATTTCCGAAACACTTTCAAAAGTTAATTTTTTGTGAAAAAGTTGCCATTTTGAATCCCCCCTGTGGGAAGGTAAAGGGTCAGATTAAAATTAAAAAATATATCAAATGATAGGTAAAGACATTATGTATCTATTTAAAAGAAAAAATTATACTGATTTGTTCATTTTTGAAAAAGTTATGGCAGTTAAAAAAAAAAAAAAAATTAAAAAAATTAGCATTGTCATAAAATTGTTAAAATTGTCATAAAGTAATGATTTATATTTATTTATCTTAAAAATTGATTTTGTATGTTTTTCTTTTTATATAATTTTAAGTGTTCAATTTTTTTAAATTAATTGAATATTTTAATTTAAATTTAATAAATAAACAAATAAAAATTTAGAAGATCGTTAATAAATTTTACTAGACTTATTTAAACACAAGTTATTATGGTAATTTTATTAAATTTTTTATGAGTTATTTAATTTAATTATTTACTGAATTTTGTTATTTATATCTGATATCATGCAAAAATATAAGGTTTTAATATAAATAAAGACAATTTTGTTATATAATAAAATAATACATTACCTATAACGTCTCCTTCTTTCATATTCGTCGTAGTCATCATATTCACTTAAGTATTCCATGTCCATATGTTCATAACTAAGTAAAGCATAGACAAAACATGTCACAAAAAGGACAAAAAATAATAGGTTAATGGCAAATTCGATAATGTTAGTTATCAGCATAAAAAGTACAAATATATAAAATTTAAAAAAATAAATACTTTTCATGAGGTTTTCGAAGTCTGTGACGTTTTGAATTTTGGTTGCGAAGATATAATCTGTAATCTGAATCTAATTCTGGGGGACTTAAAGAAACATTATCTTCTTCTTCTTCATAAAAATTATAGTCTTCTTCACTTCTAATATTACAAATATTTGAAATTAGTTTTCATTTTATAAATAATATCAAGTCCATATTTATTTGAACGCAATTGCTACAAATATTTAATTTTTTATTCCTTGACTTTTCAGATATTTTTCTAGGATGGAAGTGACATTCTTAAAAAAAATGATAGCAAAAAAAGAAGTCTGTAATATAAACCAGGAATAGGCAACTCAAAGTTACCAGAGGGCCAATTTAAAAAAAATTAAAATCAAGCGGGCCAGAGCATAGAAAGCAAAAAAAAAAAAAAAAAAGTCATTCAAAATTAAAATGTACATTTTGAATGACTTTTTTTTTTTTTTTTAAATTAGCATTCAATTTCTTTTGTAGATAAACTTTTATTAAAAGTAAAAATTGTATGTTGCAATTTGAAAATGTAGCGCGGGCTAGATAAAAATGGCTCGCTAGCCGTATGCGGCCCGCGGGCCGCCAGTTGCCCACCCTTGATATAAACCATTCATCCATATTTATTACCATGGTTAATAGTTATGGAAAAAATGTTTGTACTGACCACTTAAAAAAGTACAATTTTTTTTTTTAATTTTAGCCAAAAGTGTATTTACAAATTATTTCCAATAAAACTAAGAGCTAAACCAAAATAAGTAGTTTGTATAATACAAAAAAAGCAACCAACATTTTTTCTGAGGCAGATTACAATTTCAAATAATTTTGATGACTTTTTTACTAAAAAAATTCCTAAAATTCTGTTATTACATTATAATACTTTCTAAAAAAAAATGTTTATTATCTTAATAAAATTATATTAAATGTAATACAATTTTGATAAGATACACTATAGTGTATATCATAGTACCAAATATCAAAAAAGTTATACAATATATAAATTTTAATTGATATATCAAGTACTCTCATAAAATTTTCTAATTTTTCTTAATTTTTATCAGTTTATACTAGTATAATAAGATATAATTTTTGTCCTCTTATTTTAATAAAAAAAACTATTGAAAGTGATATAAGTAGAGGGTTTGAATTACTTATTTTTTCAATCAATGCTTCCTTATTTGCAAAATAGACTGAATAAAATTATTCCTACTTCACTAAGTAAGACACTTATCATTAAAACTAATTCCTAATTTTAGCTTCGATGCGAAGCTGAGAAGGTATTGGTTTTTTTAAGTGATTATTATTCTTATTTTTCTTAATTTTCTTTTATATAATTTTTTAATATTACCAGTAGTAATATTATATATTGTAGATATTATGGTAATTTACTCTGAACTACTTTTTAAAGGATAATTATATTTTAATGGTGCTTTGAAACTATAGTTTACTTAATGGCTTTTTTATCATAATAACACTATTTATAATAATAATTATTAAATAACTTCATTGATTAAATACCATGTGTCAAAGTATCAAATCAATCTTTATAGAAGTAATTCAAATTGTTTTATTATTATTAGTAGATAATTGAGTTTTTATGTAAAAATTTATTGTTAAATTAGGTAATAAATTAAACATTTTTTATTTACTCTCTAGGATGTCTATATGATCTTTTATCTCGAATTTGGTGGCGATCAATATTTTTGGAATACTTTTTTTGTTGCACAACCCTTTTTAAATTTTTATGACCATCTTCAGACATAGTACTTGTCATAGGTAATGATGAATCAGAATCTATTGAATGTCGCCTCAGACGTTCTTCATTTTTTTGGATATTTTTTGGAGGTCTAGATTTTTGAAAACTTTCTCCAATATTACCTTCAACCATTCTATGAAAACCTGGTGGTGGAGCATGTTTTTTATCTAGATGTTTTTCTGATTTATCATATTCTTGATATATCTCTGAATTATCATGGTGTATTGAATTTGATAATTTTAAATTATTTTCTTGAGAATCTATGACTAGTTTCTTCTGATTTTGTTGAACTGTTGATCTAATATAGGGACTTGATTCATTCATATACCCATCTGGTCCTGTCCTTTCAAAAACCTCTGAGTCTCTAGGCCTATTTTTCTTTACAACTGTAAGAGGTTCTGTTAATTCAAAACAAGACTCACTTCTGAATGAACTAAAACTGTTATCTATGTCTGTTTTTGTTGAATCATCAATTTTTTGATCATTAGTCGGTTGACTTACAAAATCCTCAAAATCTCTATGTAAGACTTGTCTAGAATGACCTTCAAACTGATTCTGAAACTGCTCTATAGAAGGAAGTCTATTTGAAGTAACAGAGTTACTATCTATGTTTTGTGCATTAGAATTATTATCTACAGATCTAGCTTCAAGATGAGAACCAGTTACATGTCGCTGTACAGGAATATCTTCATCACTCAATTGTCCTGGTACTGTACGAACATCAAAAGGTTGAGGACCATAAGATTCAATGTCTTTATTTTCTGAGTTACAGCAATCTTCAAATGATTTTGTTTGACCAGTAACCAATCTATGTAATCCAGCTGGTGGTCTATCTAATTTACAAAAAAAAAACATATAAACTTATATATAAATTTTTTATAAACCCATATGATATAAATTATGTGCAACATTTTTTTTAAATTAAAGTTATTATTCACTTAAAGTAGGAAGTATTAATTAGATTTGATCTAATTAATATTTTTTGAGCCCTCCAAATCTAAGATAATTTTAAGGGGCTGAAATGATTATACACATTTATAACAAGTGGATCATATTAATAATAATATTGCAACATAGAAATTAAATATTTGTATTCATTTTCAAGATGGTTGATTTCCTGAATATTTCCGAATGTGGTCTTAAACTACAAAAAGTTATAAGTTCTGAAAGTCTGACCAAATAAAAAATAAGATAATTATGTAGAAAATATTAAAAACATGAAAGGTAAAAAAATAACCCTTACCATTTTCTAGAGTATAATTATTTCTTAGATCTTTACTTGAATTTTCTTTTATTTTAGAACTTCTGACCTAGAAAGTTAAAAAAAGGAATACATACATTTTATTGTACAACAAAACTTTTATATAATTGTATATACAATTTTTTTTTTTTAACAGGTCATTTAGTAGTTATAATTAAAAATTGAAATTGTTTTTAAACATATAACTTTCTTACCAACAAAAAAAATTATTATTTTACAATAGACAGTAGACAGTTTTTGTTTTATTAAAAAACTAACCTCATTACTTATTTGCAAATTATTCATTGCATTTTGCAGTGAATCATTTTGAAATGACTCTGGTGGTAATATTTCACTATTTTCTACATCTGTCCAAAAATTTCCTTCATTTTCTGTGACATTATTAATTTTTTTATGGCCAATGCTTTCATTTTGTAGATATGAGTTATTTGTTATTGTACTTTGAACTGAATTAGATAGGTTTTCTGAGTTTCTATACCAATTAGTATTAGGATTTGTAAAATTATGACCATTTTCTATTCCGTTATCATAACTTTGTTCAGAATTATTTAAAATTGTAGGTTGAGATGTTCCAGAATTACTACTTAAATGTTGATTACTAGGTGAACTAGAATGATAGTTACCACTACCATACAAGTCAACATTCTGTTGTGTATTGTAAATTTTACTATTTTTTGTTTGATCTACATATCCCCAATCATCAGATCCTCCCCAGCTCCATTCGTCATTTTGCTGAGAATTTTCATTCTAAAATGTATAATATTCAAGGAATAAGTTTTAAAAATGAATTTGAAAATTCTTAAAAATTTAATTTTATTAATGCAAATGTTGAAAAAATTAATAAACTTACTGATTGTTGTTGATAATTTGAGGAGGAATTATCGACATTGTTCCAAAAATTATTACTTGACATTTTTGTTTACCATTTAAACTGAAATTAAGAGTATAATTTCAATAACAATACTAACACAACAGAAAAAGTTCTTAAATAGTTAATTCATAGAAATAAAAATTATTTCAACAGAAATCAATAATAATTTTCTAATAGATAACTGTTGATAAAATTTAAATAGTCTCACCTATTCTAACAATTGCTAGCTATTTTTTTAGTATAAAACAGTCATATTTATTTAAAATATACTTTGTATATTATAACAATTACTATAACAATTTTAAGTATTTACATTAATTTCTTATGAATGAAATGAACTTTCACAAATAATAAATTAAATACTAAATAGTTCACGTCACTTAAAAAATTGATATGCAGCAATTATTATTAGGGTTAGAGACTGAGAATCATGGGACAGTGTAACCATTTTGAACATAACATTTTATACATTATATTACTAAATTAATACAGCTGATTCAACTATAACATAACTAATATTTGAGTAAATATATATTATATCATTAGATCATTGATATACATATGAATTTAAATTGTATACAATTTGAACAAATTTTCTGGAAAGCCTAATTAAAATTATTATTTATAAAAAAAAATCATTTTTTTTGGAACCAAGAAAAAATGGGAGCTGAGCCCTCTCAAACTGTACTTAATAAAATGACCATTCTTTTATAAAAAAAATAGATACGCACACATAAGTATTGACGAGGATGTAAGACACAAAATTAAGTATGGGTGGGTGAAGTGAAAAGATGCGTCTGGTATGTTATGCGATAAGAAAATTCAATGAGGCAAAAAGTAAGTTCTATAAAATTGTAATGAGAACAGCTATGATGTATGGTTCAGAGTGTTGGGCGATTGACAAAAGAATAGAGCAGAGAATGAGCTTAGATGGAAGGAGTAGAGTGACTAGATAAGATAGGATAAGGAACGAATATATAAGAGAGAATATAGGTGTAGCGTCAATCGTGGATAAGATGAGAGAAAATAGACTTAGATAGTTTGGTCATGTTATAAGGAGAAAGGAATCGGAAGCTGTAAGAACAGTTATGGAAATGAATGATAAAGGATGAAGAAGTAGAGGAAGACCAAAAAAAAAAAGATGGAGGTATGTTATTGAATGCGTGGTTTATTTACTCTTTTGTAAATAAATCACAGATATTTATTTTAGTTATTTAAAAATATAAAATAATAATTTCTGCATAATAATTAACTGAGATTAAACAAATTCATTTTATATCTTGAGGTGAGTCTGTAAGTTGATTTACAGACTCGGCTTAGTACTCTTTTTATATAAATATAACGTTATATTATATTAATTATTTCATACTTGAAATAGCGTTCTAGTGTAAACTTTTGTGACCTACCCTTTGAGCACTAAAACTGTATTCAAAATTAATTAATTTGAATTGGTTAGTTCAATAACTTGAACGGATTTATTTAAAATACTCAAGGTATATTTTTATCTTACAATAATTATTTCACCGTACTTGTTGAACATGTAATGATAAAGATTTTATCATTCACTATCTCTTGTACAAACTTCAGTTACGTGTCACAAATAATTTAACTACTATTTTTTGATAACAAACTTTATTTTAGTTATTTTCTATTTATTACTGAGTGATTTGCAGTAACTCAAAATATTATAAATTTATGATTTTAAATTATAAAAAATATATACTTATTTTTTTAGCACCCTTTTAGTGAAATTTTAATAATTATGGTTTTGCTAACTATGATAGCTAGAATTCCTGATGGTTTACCATTGGCTGCATCAATGCAAGATGATGAACAGGTACTTGTAATTCTTCGTTAATTTTTCTTTATATAATTATTATTTTAGCTAAATAAAACTAATTAAAAACATTACAAATTAAGGTTGGAAGAAGACTTGTAGAGTATCAAAATCAAGCTAAGCTATTATTTAAAAAGTTAAATTTCCAGTCTCCTCAACAATGTACAATAGAATCAGTTCCATACTATTTTCAGTAAATCCGAACATTTTTTTTTATAAAATTTAAAATTAATCAATGTAAATGTTTGGTTTAGTTATCTTATTGAAAGAGATGTGTGTTATTTGGTTTTGTGCGAGAAAAATTTTTCCAAACGTTCTGCATTCAGCTTTTTAGAAGATATAGCTGCAGAATTCAACAGATTGTATGGTAGACAAGTATCAACTGTAACAAGGCCGTATACATTAATTGAATTTGGTATGTTTATTGTAATACTTAAAGATAGTTAAAACAAAATTGATAATAAATTGCTTATAATTGAAAGGTTGAATATAAAAATAAAATAACTGACATTTTTCAACTAAGTAATTTTCTAAACTTTTTTATAAAACTTCTATGCCACTTTAATGTGAAAAAAGATCAACAGTATTTTTATATCTAAAGTTATTTTTTTTGTGCGTTAAAACGGGTCAATTTTTTTTACTGTAAAACAAAATATCACTTATCATTCTTAGTTGTATTGCTCATGGTAGATATACTTAAGTTTTTTTATTAACTTAATTTTCATTTTAATACTAGATATAAGAAGCGTATGCTAAGTTTTTTTAATTTCAAAGTAATTTATTGAACTTAATTGTGATTGATTATTTACATTTTTATAACAATTATGGTATTATTTGAAATATCATTATATTATTAAGTATAAAGAATAAATACATGTTTTTTCTTCTTTATTTGTATATTCTCTCTCAAATATTTGAGGTAACTAGTCTAGTCTTCACTTTATTATACAAGTAATTATTACTATCATTATACTCTATAATCTCAATCATCTTCTTATTTTAGTTTTTACTTTCCTTTTAGACACATATTAATTAATTTCACTATTATCATATGGCATCTTCTATCCATTGAACATTGCCCAACAATTTTAATTTATTGTCTCATATTATATCTACCAATGACACCACTTCTAAATTGTTAACTATATACTTACAATAAGGACATAGTAGGCATAGAAGATGCTTTAGATGATTCCAAACTCTGAAATAAAACTTTGCATACCACTATTAGTATCAGATAAATTACCACATATCAATATCAAATAAAGAAATTACTGATCTTCTAATACAGAAGACAAGTGGAAGAAAACTATTGTATTTAGTATTCCACCAAGATATACCAGTTTAATCTTTAAATGGTGATTAAATACTCGCATAGCAACTGATGATATTTACTGGAATTTTTACTTGTAGGTTCATGCATCAATGATGTTATTTGAGCATATAATTTTTTTCCAAAAAAAATATCATTTTGTTGTGTCTGAGAAATAATAGTTGATTTATCATTATAATTTTGTTTTTTAATTTTAAATGTTTAAAATATTTATTGGTTATTTGACATTAACATTTAATTTAAAAACTTCATTAATATTTTTTATTAATTTTTTACAATAGATAACTATATACAAAAAGCAAAAAAAAATTACATTGATTCTAGAGTTCGGAGAAATTTAAATTCATTAAACAATGAACTACAAGATGTGCAAAGAATTATGGTTCAAAATATTGATGATGTATTACAAAGAGGAACTGTTCTATCAGGTAAAAAAAATATATATTTATATAATTAATTAAAACGTGTATCATGTTCATAAACTTTTTTATACATTAGATACTATCAGAATGATATAAATTAATCAGTTAATAATCAATATTGAGTACACACAACATTAATTTTGTTAAATTTAATTAATTGTTAATACGTATAATAATTTCAAGTAACCCATTAAATAATAAAAATTCTTTACATAGCTTAATTCTTTTATTAAATGCATCATAATTAAAATTTGGAGATTTTTATAAATCATATAATATTTTATTTTATTAATTTATTTAACAGATAATTATTTGTCAAGTGTTTTCATAAATAACAATGCTACAATATATATACAATAATTTTTACACAGACTAAAATAATTTAACATTTTTTTTTTTAAATAATGTAAAATTTCTCTATATGAAATAATTATATTTTTATCAATCTTATTCCATTTTCAAATTGAAAAATACTCATTTTACTCATAAAGATCTTCATGTATGTGGTATTTTATTGTGAATCTAAAATAAAAGTTTTTTTTCAGAACTTGACACTAAAGCACAAAATTTATCAATTTTATCAAAAAAGTACAAAAAAGAAGCAACAAATCTCAATTTAAAATCTATGTATGTTAAACTTACTGCAGCAGCAATTTTTGTTATTATATTATTTTTATATTTTTATGTAATGTAAATTATTTATATATGTATTTTAAAAAAGGTTAAGGTGAATTATACTGTTATAAATGTGATCCTATTATGCAATTAAAATAAAAATAACCCAGTAAACTTACTATTTATTTATAACTTGAAGTGTAATATTCTTCTTCTAATTCATACAGTTCTGTTGACATATCATCAACCAAACTTGTTAATTTTCTATCACATTCTACTTGTTTCGTACGAAAAAGTTTAGAGTTCTGAGCAATAGCTTCATTTACTGAAGGAAAATCATTTAAAATCAAATACTGCTTCATATCTGAAACCAATTTTAAAAGAGATTCTCCTGCTCGAACAATGTTAGCAGCTCGAACTTCCATTTCAAATGCAACTAGTTCACTTCTTGTAATTTTTGATATCTGTGTTTGATCCTCTTCACTTTTACAGAGTTTAACAATCCCTAAAATAATAATTTTTAAATATCAAAAAAATTTTAATTCTTACTTTAAATTTATAATTTTTGAAGTCGAGTAGATATTCAATATTAATGACTAAAAATATCAAGAAAAGTAGTATGAATGTACATAAAGCATTACTATATAACACAATAAATTCTGTAGAAAAAAAATTAATTAAATGTCTAATACTTTTTCATTAATTATTGTCTAGGTCAGTGGTGAATTAAAGTAAATTTACCTTCAAAATTTTCAAGCATACACTTTACATCACTTTTAAGTCTATTAGTGTATGATTTTGTCACGTTCATTGATGTTGACATTATTAAATGAAAAATTTAGCAGATAATCTATTATAACTTAAAATTTAGATGTAACAATTAACTTAATTCTCAAATTAAAAACAATTATCAATTATAAATTTACCTATATAATATTAACCAAATAATAATTTAACAAATCTCTTAAAAATAATAAAGCAAAATGACAAATGATAATTATTATTTACTTGATAGCAGATAATAATGATTACATAAATAATTTTATAAATATGTTTACTTTTTTTATTTAACTTCAATTATTTAATAAATTTAAATTAGAAATTATTATATTAAATTTCACTAAATAAACAAAAATCTAAGTGGTTAAAAAAATTTTTACATTTCTTCCAAGATAATTTAGTTTACTCCATAGACGAGTAAATGATATTAATCTCCTTGTCAACATAACCTCAAAATTTGTTACTTACCTATATTACAAGTGACAAAACTAGGGCTCTATTGAGGAACTTGCATTCCTTCATTATTTTTTTTGCGATTACCCGCATTTTCATCTCAATTCATCTATTTAATCGTTTAGTTTAATTTCACCATGGCTCCCAAAAAGGTAAATAAAAATTATGCGAAAGCGTTTTATATAATTAAATATTGTTTTTAAAATTCATTTTTAATTATCCACCACAAATTGTAAAGTAGAATTAGTGCTTCGTTTTAACCTACAGTAAAGTCTTATCTTAATCATAACTTATATATTATTGTGTATTAACAATATGTTTTAATTGACATAATGGCAACAAAAGAATTTTGAATTATATATTACAAGTTGAATTTATTGTACTTGTAGGCGGGTGCCAACAAAAAAGTAGGCAAAAAGGCTAAAGTCGCTCCAGCTCCTCTGGTTTCTGAAAAACCTAAAAAAGTAGTTAAACAGAAAGTTGTCAACCCATTGTTTGAGAAAAGGCCTAGGAATTTTGGAATTGGTAAGTTGTAAAGTTTTATTTGAATATTTTCTAGTATAAATTGTTCACAAACTTGCTATGATGGTATGAATTTCTTCACCTGCATTATTGTCTTTTTTTACAAGATAAAAATATGTAGAAAGTGACACACTGAGCATCATGGACATTTATTAATTAAAACAATATTGAATTTTATAGTTTCTATTTTACATTTCTAAAGATCTCTTTCATTATTACTTATTATTTATCATTTAAGGTATTTAAACTATTCCAGTTCATTTAGTTCAGTATTATTAAATATCTATATATTATATTATTATTATTATTATTATTTGTGTTAATGTATTATTTATATATTTGTGTATAATCTAATGGATGTTTTGATACATACATTTTTTTCTGATTGAAAAGCTAAAGAATTACTTTCAAATTGAAATGCAATGTATATTTCTTTAGAAGAAACTATTTTTAAAATAAAGGCCCATGCAATGATGTTTGAATTTCTTCAGCTGAACTAAGTAAATTGTTTAATACTACTGAAAATGTTGAAATTGACATTCTGAGCTTTTTAACAAAGTACATTCAATAAAAAATGACATTTTTTTTAATTTGTCTCATTTTATTTTCAGAAATAAAATTATTGTTTATTTGATTATAATATTCTTTTAGTTTTTTATAGAAATATAACAGCCAAATTAATTAAAAATATTATTAGTATAAAAGTATAGGTATTGCTATGATGAAAAATAATATTTCTTATTGATAACTAAAATGAAAATTGTTTTATACGAGCTTTTTAACCCTGAGCAATTATCTAATTTGATCATTTATGAATAATTAAAGGTTTAATTATTATTAATAATTAAAACATTTAATTTAATAATAATATCTAAAATATTAGCGTTTTTTTATTATTATTTAATTATAATATCCAAGTACTTATATTTTATAAAAACTACCATAATGAATTGAAAATTTTATTCATAAAAAAATTATTTATTAAATCAAGATGCCTAGTCATTTTTCTATAAAAGGAGTTCCTTGGTTGTATAAATACCAAGTACTTTTGGTATACTATAAAACCAAAGTAGAATGGCAGTCTCTAAAAAATAAATATTTTCAATTTTGTTAGAATCACTTGTTAAATATCACAATATTAATTTATTTTAATTAGATTTTTCTTTATTCACCACTAAGAAATAATTTCTGTCTCATATTTCTATATAAAAAACAATTATTTTGTTAATGACTACTTTATTTTATTGTTAAATAATGGTTTTTTATTCAAAATACTTTAATTACATTTGCTATGATGATAATGATTATATTTGATGATATTTGAGAAATTAGTTTTTGAGCTTTTTAACTCTGAGCGAATGAATCTAACACTACAAATGTTGCTCTGTCAGAGTTCTTACAATTTTTAAGTCTTAATTTTATGATTTATTTTTAACTTTAACAAATATTTTTTGTTTTTGTTTAATTTTAGGTCAGGATATTCAACCCAAAAGAGACTTAAGTCGTTTTGTTAAATGGCCCAATTATATTCGTATACAACGTCAAAAGGCTGTTCTTCAAAGAAGGCTCAGAATTCCTCCACCAATCAATCAATTTTCTTATGCAGCCGATAAGGCCACAGGTATGTACCATAACATTTAACTAACATGGTTACACGTAGTCTTCTAAATTAAAGAAAAATGTAATTTTTACAATATTATAATTTTTAGTTACTCAGCTTTTCAAGTTAATGGAGAAATATAGACCTGAGACAGCTGCAATGAAAAAGAGACGATTGCAGGTATATTTATAATTCTTATAAATATGCTGATTTTTATATAAAAGATTATACATAATATAATATAAATTTAATTTTGTTTCATTTCTATCTAAATAGAAAAGAGCTGAAGATAAAGTTGAAACTAAAGAAGATCAACCCACTAAACGTCCAAATGTGATACGCCAAGGTATTAACACTGTTGTCAATCTTGTTGAGCAAAAAAAAGCTCAATTAGTAGTTATTGCCCATGATGTTGATCCTTTGGAGGTAAGACAATAAAATTTCAATAAATATATGTATACATTTTATTTAAGTAAAATATTTTTCTTTATTTGTTTTTATATCAAAATTTATTAGTTGGTAATATATTTACCTGCATTGTGTCGTAAAATGGGTGTACCCTATTGCATTATCAAGGGAAAATGGAGGTTAGGTAACCTTGTACGCCGTAAAAATTGCACTGCCTTAGCCATTACTCAAGTAATTAACTTTTTTTTTTATTTCAGTTATAAGCAAGTTTTTATATTGATTATTTTCTTGTTTTAAGGTTGATAGTGGAGATCGTGCAGCTTTAGCAAAACTGATAGAATCTGTAAAGAACAACTTCAATGAACGATTTGATGAATTTAAACGTCATTGGGGTGGTGGTGTTTTGGGTGCAAAGTCTGCTTGTCGCCTTGCTAAGATAGAAAAAGCAAAAGAAAAAGAACTGGCGCAAAAACAATAAAAATTTTATGTATGAAAATTACCTAATAAAATATAAAACCCCAAACACTGTAGTATTGATTGAACACTGTTTATCTCTATTAATATTTTTTTTAAATATTGAAGGGACTTTTTTTATTATTATTATAATATTTTGCTTATTTTATTTCACAAAGAACCACCCATTTAAGTTGATTATAGTATGAAGTGGCTAAATTGAAAGAATTACATTTTTTAAATTATTCTACTAAGCTACGAAAAAAATTTCACTAGGTAAATATTGAATGAGATAAATAGAAGGTATAGTAATGTAGATACTTGGAAGGATGATTTATCGCATCTTGAAGGGAACATCAGTAAGAAGTAGCACATTTTTAGAGTAAGGGTTACTTATATATCTCTAAATGTAACTGTAAAATGTGGTGTGCAAATTTTAATAACTGCTTATTCCCTCTATTGCTCCTTAAAATTAGACCACCTTTTTAAATGATAAATTTAATTAGAAAATATAAGAAAATAATTTAATTATAAAATGATCGATTGAAACTTAAATCTGAAATTATTATCATTTAAAGATGTAGACAAGACACATTTAGTCGGATTTAGCTACATCTATAGCCTTTACTTAGAGGGGAAGTCTTACGATCCAATACTGTTAATTTTTTAGGAGCACTATTTTATTAATACATAATAAATTAGTAAAACATTGCTAGGCCCTTATATAAGATTTTGGCGTGGGGTAGCTACATGAATTTTGGTATACAAATATTTTTTCAAAATCTTTAAATATTATTGATGAACAGAAAAAGTCAATATTTATTTTTTTATTACCGGTCAACTTTTCCAAACTTTAATTGAACTTATGATAATCTTTAAATAAAGAAGAACGTAAAATATACGAGTTTAATTTATAACTATCAATATTAGAATACAATTTTTTTTAAAAGGACCCTATGTTAATGACGTTTGTATGTTTTTTGCTCATTAATGTTAAGATTTACTATTAATAAATTTTGAGGGCTATTGTCCCTCCGAACCACTTCTTAAATGTTGTCCAATTTATCACAATATCTTAGCGTAAAACAGCACGGTGCCCAAACTTTTTTTGCTAATTGGGGCAAATACATTTTTGGAAAGGCAAACAATTTACATTTATTAATAAAAAAAACAATTATATTGTTGAATTAATGATTAATTTAATATTTATGAGTACAATTAATGTTAAATTAAAATTAAAGGCATTTAAGTAATATTCTAAAATTAAAATTATAGTTGATAAGTAATACCTATTAATAGGTATCTCATTTGTAGTAATAACGTGAGAAAAACACTACAAGTACAAGTAAAATGGTAGAATTTAAAATTAAATAAAAATGTTTAATGTCTAAATGACGTCGTACCAATACAACTTTTTATAAACAGTACAAAATTTATAAATAATACACAAAATACTTGAGAAAGGACAAAAATTATTTATAGGGGTGACTACCTATTTAAGTCTCCCTTTGGCGCCGTTCATGGCCTAAAAATTCAAGATTTTGCCTTATAAACATAACTAACTAATACGCTAAGCAGTTATTTTTAATTAACTTTTCCTCAGCGAAATGTCGTGCGTTGCGTGACTCATAAACGTAATTCATTGGGACTATGTAGTTAAAATAGTTCGTCTAGCAAGTGAACTATGCGTTCAACCTGTTGCACGGGTGGGGCACGCAGGGCCGCATTTAGGAATTTTGCCGCCCCCCAAAAAGTGTTGAGTTGGGTTTTTTAGTTGAGCAAAAAATAAAAAGTCTTCAAAGCAATTTCCCTTGTTTACATTAGACATCAATTGGACCATGGGTGGGGGGTACAATCCCCATAGACCCCCCATAAATGTACCACTGACGTCCTTACCATTATTTTAAATCATAAATTTTTTTTAAGAGTAAAAAATGGGCCATTTGATAATTTATAATTGAATTATTTTTTTTTGAATTTTTTTCAAAAGTTAGAAATATTAACAATGGAACAATTATTTATAAATATCATTTATTAACATAACAACAGTTAATCAATAAGCAAGAAAAACAATTATAATTTTTTTCTACTCTTAATACACGAAAATTTTTCAATTACCTCATCATAATTTATTTTAGATGTCAATTCACCTTCAATTGACAATAAAGCTAAATTATTAAGTCGATCCTCAAACGTACTAGATCTTAGATACGATTTAATTCTTTTTAAAGTCGAAAAAGATCTCTCCGTTGAACAATTGCTTATGGGAGTACATAGCAAAATTCTCAAAGCTATATCAATATAAGGATAAATGCTTTGTAAGTTTTTCTGTCTGATAAACATACAAATCTCTTGAATCGTTTTCGGAATACCATCAGAAAGGCTTTTTAAATGTCCTCTCAAATGTAAACATTCATTCACAAATGAAGGTTCTAAATCAATTTCAAATTCTTTTTGAAGTTTCGTAGCATTTTTAAATATTTCAAGTACTGAAATATTTGTTAACTCCAAAAAAAATTTATAGTTATCAAGAAGAAGATCATATGATTCTTTTCTTTTTTCAAGTTCAGCTTTAATTTTGTCTAACATGACAAAATAAGTATCAACTTTAAAAGATTCTGATTTTGTAAAGGTAACATCTTCAGCTGATCCTTCATCAAGGCATGTTTTTCTCTTTTTTAAACGTTTTTGATCATTTTTGAATTGTTTTACATTAATTTTTTCAATTGCTTGAGATTTTAAGTGTTTGTAAGCCTCGTCAGATCTAAAATTTGTTACATAAGTAATTAATGAGTTATAAAGTTCTACCACAACACCTAAATCAACATTCACACACTGCAGCTTTTTACTAACAGCATTAAACCTCTGTAAAATATTACCCCAAAATATTGATAAAAATCCTATTTCTAAAGTGTCTAGTTTTTTTTTTATGCATTTAGTCTCAAACCGAGTATTAGGCTTTTCATTTGCATCGCATTCAATTATATTTGAGGCATTCATAATTGAACTCCAATTTTCATTTAAAGATTTACAAGCATCTTCTCTAGCTGACCACCTGGTACCTGAAAGAGATTTCACAGTGGATTTAAGAATTGCCCACCGGTGTGTTGAAGCAGAAAAGAAATTATATATAATTTGAAGTAAATTAAAAAATTTGACTGCTTCAATACAACAGCTCACAGAGTTCATACCGACCAAGTTTAAAGAGTGTGCTGCACATGGAACAAATTTTGCCATGGGATTTACTGCTTTTATTCTTGTTTGCAGTCCAGAATATGCACCTGCCATATTACTGGCATTATCATATGATTGACCTCTAAGGTTTGCAATATTCAGTTTATAAGTTTTCAATATTGTAAATACAGCTTCTGCTATATTTTCAGCTTTATGTCCAATATGATCTAGAAAACAAATAAAACGCTCAACAGGACTTCCATCACTATTAACATAACGAATACATAATGATAATTGATCGATGTGTGATATGTCAGGAGTTGAATCAACACTAATTGAAAAATAATGAGCATCATTTATTTCTTGAATAATTGTTGACAAAACTTTTTCAGCCATAATTTTTATTATCTCTTCATATATATTACAAGATAAATAAGATGTAAAACCTCTGCCAGGATTTCCATACTGTTTGAGATGTTCAGCCATAAATGGGTCAAATTCAGATAATAACTCAATAGCCATTAAAAAGTTGCCATTGTTTTTAAAACCTAATTTTGATGTATCCCCTCGAAGTGCTAATCCTCTTGATGCTAACTTTTTTACTACTGCCACGACTCTTTTCAAAATTTGAATCCAATAAAGTCGTTCTCTCTCGACCTGATTAGCAAGTCCACTATCAATGCGATTAAGAGTCACCCCGCGTAGTTTCATTTTCAAAATATTAGACCGATGAGTTGATGAATTTAAATGTTCTTGTATTTTTTCATCTGCTTTTTTCCAAAGAGAAAATCCAGTCGAACCAAATGAAGATTTACAGGAAAATAAAAGACATGGATAGCAAAAGAGAACTCCTTTAGTCTCAGAATACGCTAAAAATTCTCTGCGAAATTTCTCTCCATTTTTTAAAGTTCCTTGAAAATAACTAATTTTACAAGACCTGTTGATTGTTTTTTTTATTCCTTTTACCGTTCTAAGAAAGCTTCTCTTAGATTTAGAAAAATTAATTATTGATAAATCTTGAGTAAAACCATGAAAGCATACATAATTAATTAAATCTTCATTAATAGACCAAAGAGCTGGATCAGAACTAAAACAAAATAAAAATGAAAACTTAATAAATAGTCGATGTTAACAACCATGCTTCAAAAATTATCATTCTAAATTTCGATGATGCATTATTCAGAAACAAATGTAAACTTAATTATTTATAAGTAATATTATTAATAGTTTTATGAGCGTTTTTTTTAAAAGTTAAAATATTATAATTAAATGTTGTCAAGTTTTACAAAACATTAATTTAAAATTAAAATTATTATAGAGTAAAAAGTATTTAAATTAAAAATTTTTAACTTGACGTTGAACGGCGTCAAACAGCGTCTTATTAAAAAATTATTGGAAGTCACCAATCGGTGTCATAGAAAAAAAGACATTATTCTGGTCAGCACCAGGCGCGTAGCTAAAATATTTTTACTGGGTAGGCCTGGGCCAATGTGTATATAAAATAGATCCTCAGCGAACGTGTTAGTACAACTACCAACTACCTTCATTTAAGCTATTTTTATTTTATATTCCAAACGGAACGAGAAATGTATTGATTTTATAATGATTTTTTTGTAATTTTAAAATTTATTATAATTCTTAAAATATTTTTTGAAATAAGGACTTAGTTAAGTTAAAATTATTTTGGATTTAGTCCTCACGCATTTGGGTTAATATTTTTTTTTTACTAAAATTACTAGAAAACATGACATAATGTATCTATTTTTGTTTTGTTATATTCATCAAGAAAGATAAACAACACCATAGTTGTATATTTAGCTTGATGGTAATGTCAAAAATGATTTTATTCTATTTTCAATCTCATTATTGTATTGTAACATTATTTATTGAATCTTTATGATCTCATCAATTAAAAAAAAGTCGATTTATTTTAAATGTATTTCACATATTATTCTAACAAAATGTAAGATTTATACGGAAATAAAACTTCCTGCTTATTACATTAGACCTAAAAAATGTATTTTTTTTTTAATGAATTATTAAAAAAGTTCGAGTTGCTCCATTTTTTTCGATACCTCAGAAAAAAACTATTTTTTGATCGAAATTTTTCCATTTATTTCCGAAATGTTTAGGCATTTTGACCTCTACTACCAAGTTACACAAATTTACGACTAGCAAGCACTAAAAAATATTTTTCTTCAAAAAAAATTTGAGGAACTTATTTTTTAACTTACTAAAGATATTAAGGGGTCTGCTTGCGACTTGTTTTTTAGCCCAAAAACATGCTTTACGGGAAAAACTCACGCCTTGCCAAGTGGCCAATAGTTTAATAAAAAAAAGCCAAAAATTGCCTATATTTTGCCTATATTTTGCCCCTTAATAAATAGGCACGAGGAGGTCCTTAAGCCAAGATGCTGTTGAAAAATGAAACATCGATAATATTTTATGTACTACAAAATGAAAAAAAAAAATTTGTCCCGACGATCTATCTTCTATACGCAAATGCCTACCATATTGAAAAATATACTATTTTTGTATGATAATTATGGGTTTTGTATTTTATTTTAATAGAAGTTGATGTTGCTTTTGCAATTATCCATCAATTTTTTAAAATTAAACACTATCTACAGATTTGCATCGAAGCGTTTCTTATGATAGTGATTTTAATCACTGTCAGATTAAATCTATACTGGACCCTACTATGCAATGTCTC